ACACCAACTTCTGGGTATTTGCCAGAGTCTGGTTTACCAGGTCTGGGATGCGGCCCAGCATTTTTAAAAGCTCCCCAGGTAATACCAAGGTGAAGGCAGGGCCCAGGCTCTGCCTTCCCGCCCTGAAGTCCTACGGGGCTGAGATTCACACCTCCTGGCGCCCCGCCCCTCCCACTCCTGCCTTTGCCGCAGGCTCAGGAGAATGTGACAGACAGTCCTCCTTGCAGCTGCATCAGTGTCCTCTTTCTGCTGTAATGAATGACCGTAAACTTAGTGACTCAAACCACACACACTTATTAGCTTAGAGTTCTGGAGGTCAGCAGTCTGACATGGGTCTCCTGGCAGGGCTGTGCTCCTCTATGAAGGCCCCAGGGGAGAGTGCATTTCCTTGTCTTTTCCAGCTTCTAGAGGCCACCTGCATTTCTTGCTCACGGCCCCTTCCTCCATCGTCAAAGCCGGCAGTCACGTCTCTCTGACTCTTCTTCCAAAGTCACATCCCCTCTGACTGACAGCAGCTGGGAAAGCTTCTCTGCTTTCAAGGACCCATGCGACTAGATAGGGACATTGGAGAATCTGGGATCCTCTCTGCACCTCAGAGTCCTTAACTTTAACCACATCCACAAAGTCCCCTTTGCCATGTGAGGTAGCATCATCACAGGTGCTGGGATTCGGACACAGGCAGTCTTGGGGGCGATGATTCTGGCACCATACCGGACCTGACACATCGCTTCTTCCCTCCACTCTGGGTGTCCCACACTCGGTGGCTCAGATGATCCACAGGAGACTCTGGGTGTCCTTCCTGCTTTTTTGGGCAGAAAGGGAGGCTCAGCCGTGTGTTTGACTGAGGGTCTTCAGTCCGGGGCTTAGGTTGGGTGGGCTGAGAAGTAAGAGGTGTAAGAAGATGCAGCCCAACCCAGAGCCACCCCCTAACACACAGGGCAACGGCCACAGAACCATGAGCAATGAAAACTCTATTTTATTATGAAAGGAAGAAAAACGAACAGCTTGCTTTATTCCATAACTGTTTTCCAATGCTGATACCATAAGGTTGATTACGAAGTTCAAAAGAACGTGTGAGATTCTGTTCCATTTATACTGGAATTGGGGACTAAAAGGAAATCAGATTGAAGGTGAAGGGGGAACTTGGTGCCTGTTGATCTGGGCTGCAGCTAAAATGCCAGCTGCTTGGCTGTGTTCATCCTGTTTGCTCGAGTTCGCCTAGAAAGCTACTTGCTCTGGCTGTCCTTTCCTTGAGCCCTTTAGCGGTCCTGTTGGTATGAAGAGCAATCACGAGCCCCCTGGCTGGGTACGTCTGAATTAGGATGCACGTGCAAGACAAGGGCTTGGTCCTTGGCCTTTGTTCAGCACAGTGTCTCCGTCTTCAATTTGGCAGAAAGCTTCAATTATCAGAAGCTTCCTTGGCAGATGAGCAAAATCTTTGCTTTGAAGTCAATTTTGTTTGGTGGTTTAGGGATTAATCCAAGATTTAATATCTGCCCTCTCCCCAGTGGTCATTGCATTTAGCTGTGTGTTCTTAGAAAAGTCACTCGCACTCTCTGAGTCTGTATCAAACGTCACATCTCTTACTGGAGGTGCGAGGTGATTGTGGAAGGAAGGCTGTGGTTGATGATAGGTTAACACAATTGTGGGTTGTGAGCCTCTGCATATGCAGAGAGGCGGGACCTGAGAGAGGGAGCGTGCCAGTACTGCAGTGGTTCAGGCTGTACCGCTGCCCTGGACCAGAAGTAGGAACTCAGCCAGGGCAAAGAGCAGAAATCAAGAGGCTGGCAGAAGACGTTGCTGGTCTGTTGAGAGGAGAATAGAGTGGACAAGCAGAGAGGCGTGAAGGAGGGAGGGAATGGTTAACCACTTGTCAGTCCTGTGACATAAACCTGCCTTCACCTGCCTACCTGGACAGTTTCTGTTTCTTGCACCCAAAAGATCCTTGTGTAGGATACTTAGGGATCAGGCTGTGGCATGAGCATTGCGTTTTGCAAATCAGACCACTTTTATACTTCTTGTATTTTTATTTATTTTGCCTTTTCTTTCCTAATTGTTGGTACAAGTCTTTTAAATTCTAAACTTAAAAGTCTAAACTTAGTGTAAATTTGGATTCAGCTCTTCTAAGGAAAACCAAGAGAAGGAATCTTCTGGGGGAGCTGTGTGGACCAGCGGCAGCAGTAGTGGAGGTGAGAAGCCGAGAGGAGGAGAAATTCTGAGTTCCGGAGTCCTTCCTCCTCGGCTAGCCCGTTCCCAGCTTCAGCCTCACCTTCGAGTGCTCCTTCTTGACGGGGTCATTTCTCTTAGCACCTCATTTCCTCACTCTGACACAAGGAGGTGGAACTAGGAGCTTTCTAAGGCCCCAACGCTCTGCGATTCCAAGAAAGCAGGGCCGATTCCCAGTGGTTGTAAAGCGGGCATTAGAATCCACAAGAAGCCGAAATGCCCCGAGAGGAATCTGATTCGCAGTCGCCCCAGCACCGGCCCCTCCTGCTTTTCCTTTTCCAGAAACACAAGCCCCACATCTGCATCTACCTCTGTCTCCTCACCTTTCCCTGCCCCATGCCCTCCCTCTCTAGGCACCCAGAGCCTTTGGTAAAACAGGTTGGAAGCGAGCCACCCAGGCGGGGAAGCCGGGTGGCTGAACTCAAAGCAATTTCAGCTGGGTGTGCGGAGTTCCCCTTCAGCTTCATCACCCACTTCCAATGCCACTCTCCAATTCATCTGTTCCCCACATTCCACTGATGCATATAACCTCAGTGCAACCCATCGTTTCGTTGTTGATCATCCCACCTAATCGGAACCCGAGGCTGGAAGGAAGGGAGAGGCGGTTGATCCGGTCTGTTAGCAACGTTCATTTATTGGATGTCTTCTGAGTATAGAGCCAGTCACTGGATTACAGAATGTCAGGGCAGGCAGAGCCCTAATAAATCATCCAGCCTGCCCTCTGTACTTAGAGATGGCAGCACTTAGATGGAGAGGTTAAGTGACTTGCTTAAGGTCACACAAGCAGAACTAAGCCCAGAATTCAAGAGAGGCTGTCACCAGTTAATTGCGCTTTCCCACTCCACCCCATGGCTGAAGGTGGATGAAGGTGACAGATTAGTTTGTGTGAGCAAAAAGGGAAGGAAAACACGCACACATTTCCTTTAAGTGTTCCAAATTAAGAAAGACCCTGGACGGAAAAAAGGACGAATAGCAGAGACATTTTCAGCAAGCAAAATTGGAAAGCATGGAGCTAAGCTCTTTCCTGAAAATGGTGATCACATTAAGAAAACGTGAGGGAAAAGGTTTTTCGAGGGGAAGGAGTCTTTATTGAATTGTTTTTCTTTCCTTGCTACATTTGTTCTTTAATCCATGTTCTCATCAGCACACACTATTCTCCCCCATTTTTCTTTTCCTCGACATATTTATAACCTTATTTTCATATTCTACTATAAACCTTGGTATAAACAGCTTTTAAAGCAGCTATTTTTAACGCAAGATGACACACCAAGGTTTAAGCCCCCCAATAAAATTGCCCGGGGACATCCGGCACTATAAAACCCTTTCATTTCCTTCCTAGAGAAGCCTACTATCCATTCGCTAGCTTTAAAAAGTAACGCAGGAATGAAAATAGGTTGACATTTTGAAAACAAGAAAACAATGACTAAAAGAACATATTTTCCTATTTCAAGTTCAAGTCCTCCAGATGGATCGTTTGACATTGAGAATTGGTGTTTGCAGTAATTGGTTATTTTCATATATTTGACTCTGACTATATACAAGTGCCAGTTAATTCGTCTACTAATTTTTTCTACAGGAATAGAAGGTAGTACTAAATGTGTTCCTGGAATTTAATTCTAAAAATGTAAACGTTATAGGTTCTTATGAAAAGCAAGTATTTTTGTTTCTTTCTTTTGACAGCTCAAAAACAAATATTCCAGTGTTTTTGATATAATAACCTCGGTTAAAATGCTGTTCTGGGAGGCCCGTGGGAAATGTTCGGAGGGTCGGGAGACCCCCTGGATGTTGTCTGGGAAGAATGTTTGTTACTTTTCAGGAAGGGCGAGTAAGCGGTGACTGCGGCTTCTGAGGGAGAGGCTGCAAGGTCCCTGTGAGCTTCCGCTTCAAGGCTCAGCTGCAGGTCAGGGGGAGAGGGAGGGGGCCTGTGTCTGAGGCGCCTCTGTGGAAAGTGAGATAATTTTCCTGCTCTTAATGGTTCTTGGTCAAAAGTCCACCTATTATTGGAGATTTGTGCTTGCTTGCTCTTTTGATTGTTTATTTTCTGTCAATATCTGTATATCTGTTTCAGAGAGAAATCTATTCGCGTCTGAAATAACACTGACTTATTATCCCAAACAAGAGAGAAGGTTGAGATTGCATGTCAACATGAGCCCTCACTTTCTACCCTAAGTAAAGCAATAAAATGGACTGGGGACAGTCACCTGGGTGCTCAGGGGGCTCAGCTGGTGGGGGCCATTCCCCTCCCCGCCCAGTCTTCCCCGTTGCCTGGTGAGCTTTTCCAGTACAGTGCAGAGGCCTTGGACCATCTGGCGAAAAGAGAAGGTTCAACCTAAAGCACCATATTCTCCAGGCATTGAACCCATGGGTGGGCAGGTGGGAGCACAGAAATGCTTTAATAGTGTGGAGACAGGTCCCCCCTCCTGATCCACAGATGAGGAAACTGACAACGAGAGGAGAAGGCCCAGCCCAAGGCCACCCAGCTTGTTAGTGGCTGAGCTAAAACTTGAGCCCAGCTCTCCTAATTCCCAAATAAATATTCTGTATACCAATCATGACTGCAAATGCCATTGACTTACAAGTGTTTACCAACCTGCCCTGTCCTTCTGGAAGTCTCAGATTTCTTAAACGACACATGCATTGCTTCAGTTTCTTTCAGTTACATTTGCGTTAGGGAAGAGAATGAATTTGGGCTCTAGGAGGTGCTGGTATGACTTGTGGTACAAAACTAAGCAAGTGACATCACTTGGTTTTTCTGGGTTCAGAGCAGCACTCACCCATACTGGACAACACCCATCAGTGGACCGGCCGGGCCAATGTGAAGAGCTTGGGCGACGTCAGCCAGGAACTGCTTCTGGATTCGGAATCGACGTTTGCCAATGCTCGCACTCCCATCAATCAGAAACGACAAGTCGATTTTGCAGCCTGGTGAAGGGAAAAGGACTCTGTTATTCTGTCTCTCTCACCACCTCACTGGTGCATTTTCTCGCTCCCCTTTCTCCAGCAGAGCCTCCTGAGATTCTAATGAAAAGAAAGTTAAAAAAAAAAGTAACAAGAGGGGCCCGCCTGTGGCCAAGTGGTTAAAGTTCCATGCATTCTGCTTTGGGGGCCCAGGGTTCACAGATTTGGATCATGGGTGTGGACTTACTCCATTCATCAGCCATGCTGTGGAGGCATCCCACACATAAAACAGAGGAAGAGTGGCACAGATGTTAGCTCAGAGCAAATCTTCCTCACCAAAAAAAAAAAAAAAAAAGTAACAAAAAGCAGGGTATATTCATTTACTTATGTCCATAACAGATTTTCACTGGGCACCAAGGTCCTGGACGCTTGGGCTAGTACTTATTTCCATAAGTGTTTTAGAATTCTCTGTATCAGCCACAATTATAGACTTCAGACACAGTCACCTCCCACTCAAGTTTTGAGCAGGCCCTCAGAACGGTCTCCTAGGCTCAGACCCTATAAGCGCAGGCCCTAGATGTGGGAATTCCCAAGACTGAGTCTCAGGAGCAGGTGGTCTTTCACTCTCCTCGTAACTTTTTAGAATTACGTGTTGGGTCTTTAAAAGATGTGAAAGAATCTGCAAGGCCAAGGCTGAGGGCAGGGGAGGAATTGTAGAATGAGAAATTGACAGCAATCTTCTCCTTTTCTTCCCTGGGTGAGGCAGCCATAGAAATTATCCACATATATCTACAGATGTCAGTACTTGCTTGTGGCTATCTTAGATTTCCCTCCTTTCTTTTAGTTGTGATAAAGACCAGGATGGTTGTTCTGGTTAGGAGCTCCGGACTTCTGTGAATATATGAAGGTTGTGATGGAGTTGGGGATGGTGGGGCTGCAAGCTATTTTCAATCTTTCAAACACTAATAGGAATTGGTGGAAAGCCATATAAGCTAAATGAAGTTAGTGTCTCCTTTGCTCTCAGCTGAGATTATATGATCTCAGTATGATGAGACTGATTATTCAATGCTGATCAGAAGTTCTTATTGGGAGGTATATATCCCTTTGATTAATAAAAAATGAGAAATGAATTATTTAACAAGTACAATTTGGGAGACAAAAATATTTCAAAACAGTTCCATGGGGGAAAGAAAGAGAGAGAGAGTCAGTAATGTCAGGAATTTCTAGACTAGAGTGTCCAAGAGGACACTTGGGCCAGTGCTGCCCCTTTGTGGGTGGGCGTGCAGCTGCCCAGACAAGCCCGGGTCTGTCTGAGCTGCCACATGACTGCCCACGAGGTCGCTCCAGGCTTCCGCTCTCTACATTGCATTTTCATTGCTTGCATGTGGCTGGAGTCTCCCCATCCCCAGAAGGAGCGGCTCCCTAGGCTCCATATCTTGCAGTGGTGCATGGTAATCAAAACCAGAGGAGAAGTAGGCAATGACAGGGACTTCTCTGGGCCTGGCTGACTTGGCTCCATCTGGAATTAGTTCCTCGGCTCATTAGCGGATCTTGCAAGCTTTTCCCTCCCATCTGCCTGGACATTCGGTGCCTGCCAACTCCTCCTGTTCAGCTGGCTTTCCCTGTCCTTTGCTGCCCAAGTCTGCCTATGCCCAAGCATGATCCTAAGATGAAGATTGGAAGAAGCAAATAAAATCAAGAAGTGGAGTTTAAAGATGCCGCTAAAGCTTGGGATCAAGCAAAAGAGAAGCAGAATTGCTCTATGGCTTGTCATGTTGTATCCCAAACAAGGCCAACTCATTCTTTCCTAGGTCCGGGCTTGCAATGTGAATTGTTGCCAGCAGGTGGCAGTGGTGTTCTTCAGGGCTTGCCCCACATGGCACCTAGGGTTTGCTACAAATGCTGACTCCCAGGCTCCACCCAGACCTACAGAAGCAGATCTGCATTCTAACATGATCTCCAGGGGACCCGTGTGGACATTAAAGTTTGAGAAACACGCCTGAAGAGGGGTTTTCCTTCCAGATGTCAGCAGATTAGTTCAATATGCCTCCAATATGCCTTTTAAAATGAAACCTATTTTTAAAAATAACTATTAATTAGTGTAAGGGCCAAAGGGGATTTTCTTTTTAAATGAATAGAGTTTACGGATTCTGTAGCCTCTATTTTGGTTTGTCATAGACAATTATTTTCTCCTTACTTCTTACATCTTGAACAGTGTTTGGATTGATGTGTTCATTTCATAGCTAGGTTTGAAGAAGAAGAGATGTTTCTCTATTTGCTTAGTTCTCTTCACTTTCTAGCCTGATGGCTGACATCGGGGTCACCTCTGCTCCCCTTTGCCAGAATGCTTTAATGACAGTGGTTCCAGCTCAGGGCACGTGTGCACTGAGACCTAGTGGCTTTCTCATACTGAGAAGAAAACCTGATGATCTGAAGATGAATGTCAATACCAAAAGGTGGAACAGGGTTGAAATGTTCAGTACGAGCGACTTATTGTGGTCACAGAGGACAGAGACTGGAGAATGAGGAAGAAAAGCTCAGATACGGTATGTATAGAAATCAATCTACCAATTTTCTTAATTGCTTTGGTTTTCTTCAACACAGTACAATGTTATAGATTAATGCTTTGTGTTGTCCAATACATGAAGACAGTGTTTCCTAACCTGGATCAGAGTTGCTTATGCAGCTTCAACAAATAAAGATGCCCTGGAATCACTCTGGGCTGTGCTTCCCAAGGGTTAGTGTGCAGTCACTTGATTCAGTAGGTCTGAGTGGAGCCAGGGACTCTGCATTTCCAACAAGCTCCCAGGTGATGCCAATGCTGTTGGTCCTCACACCACAGTTTGAGCAGCAAGATCTAGGGAAAGCCTGATTCAGTAAGTAGGAGGAAGGAATTGGGCACCTTTAATTTTTAAAAGTGTCTTCAGATGATTCTCATACACAGCTGGGTTGAGACTCACAGCTCATAGGTGGCTGACTTGTAGTGACTATATGGGAGCAGAATTCGCTACCCCAAAATGTGTCTCTTTAGCTTGATTTTTTTTTGTTTTGTGAGGAAGATTGTCCTGAGGTAACACCTGTTGCCAATCTTCCTCTTTTTGCTTGAGGAAGATTGTCCCTGAGCTAACAGCTGTGCCAATCTTCCTCTATTTTGTATGTGGGATGCCACCACAGCATGGCTTGATGAGCGGTGTGTAGGTCCACACCCAGGATCCAAACCGGCAAACCCCAGGCTGCCGAAGTGGAATGCGTGAACTTAACCACTACACCACCGGGCCAGCCCCTGGCTTAATTGTTTTTGACAATAAAAGGCTCTGAAAGAAACCTTGACCTTCCCCCTAACTGCCTAAAAGAATTTAAGACTGAAGGCCTGTTCCAGGAAGGAGCTATCACTGTAGATAACTGTAGTGTGAAGCAGGTGTGGTAGACAGGGAGGAACCTAGCAAGACTCATTTGATCAAAGTCCTCTCCATGTGCCATTGTCTCTGAAGGTACTGCAACATTTGCTATTCCATCTCCACGTGAATTGCCTTCCTCCTTCTTGAAGTCCCAAATGACTACCCCAACATCCACGTTCGTCTTTAGCTGAGGATGGTATTTAAGGTGGTGGTTTCATTGTGGCAAGTTACTCAGGTTTCCTGGGTTTCTCCTGTGAATACGTGTATTAAATGAGTTTGATTTTCTTCTCTTATTCTGTCTCACATCAGTTTTATTCTTAGACCAGCCAGAAGAACCCAGAAGGGTGGAGGAATATTTCTTCCTCCCCTGCACGACTTTCTTGGCAAATTTGTAGGTGCTCTCCTTGGCTTGCCACACACAACTCCCTCCTGGTTTTCCTCTTTCTCCAGTCCCTCCTTTCTGGTATCCTCAGGTGGCTTCTCCTCCATCCATTTAGTGTTGAAGTTCTGTAGGTTTAAGTTCTCTCTTTCTTCTTATTCTATTCTGTCTCCCTAGATCACATTTTCTACCCTCATAGCCTCGGTTTTCAATCCCAGCTCGTCATCTTCCGACTCTGTCTGCCTGGGCTGTTCCTTCTGAATGTGAGAACTGGGTAGTCAACCCTTTACCAGACTTAATGTCTTCTGGAAGATGATAGACATAGATGATTTCCCAGCCCCCAGTGTGCTCCATCCCAGGGTCCTTATGGCAGCACCATTTACCCCAGTTGCTCAAATCATCTTTATCTCCCTTTCTTGCACCTCCACCTCCAACCTTCTAGATTCTTTCTTCCAGACTCTTCCTTCTCTATGTCTCTTGAATTTGCCTCTTTCTCTGCATGTCTACTTCCAACTCTGAGCTCTGTCTGCCCTCATCTCCACTAGACCACTGTCCCTACTGGCCAACCAGTCTTCTCCTTTCATCCACCCTTGTCTCCCATCCCATTTTTTTTTTTTTTAAAGATTGGCACCTGAGCTAACAACTGGTGTCAATCTTCTTCTTTTTTTTTTTTTTTCTACTTTTTCTTCCCAAGTCCCCTCAGTACATAGTTGTATATTTTTAGTTGTGCGTCCTTCTAGTTGTGGCATGTGGGACGCCGCCTCAGCGTGGCCTGATGAGTGGCACCATGTCTGCACCCAGGATCCAAACCAGTGAAATCCTGGGCCGCTGTAGCAGAGCATGCGAACTTAACCACTCGGCCAAGGGGCTGACCCCTCCCATCCCATTCTTCACCCTGTTGCCATAGTGATGTTTTAAAAATGTAATCCTCTCCCCCTCATGCACACAGAGAGTTTAAAGCCTTCAAAAGCTTCCCTTTCCCCTTAGAACAAAGTGACAGAAGAGAGGAGATAAAGAGATCCAGGATAGGAGAGAGGCGGGTTTGGGTGGGAGTGAGTGGGTAGAGAGGAGAGACAGCAGATCAGATGTCGAAGCCACTATGGGTTTCTAGTTGTCAATTAACTTACTTGGATCTCCCTGGGATACTGGCTCCGAAGACTGTGTGCTTAATTCTTCTTTTGGAACAAATCCTGGAAAGAGCAGTAAAACTTTTGGTGACTTACAGAACAGGAAGCATCTGGCTCTACCCCAGGGATGGGGACACAGCAGACCTGCACACCTAGCTCAGAGAGCTTGGCTTACTGCTGACTGTGCCTTCCTCCACACCACCCCTACCTTAAGAGATAAGAATAAACTAACATTTACTGACAGCCTACTAGAGACACAGCACTCTGCTAGATGCTCGGAGGGGTTCGAAGTCAGAAGACTTGAGTCCTGTCCCCTGTGCCTGTTAACTTAGTCTGGCTGAGTCTCACTGTCCTTATCGGAAAGCATTAAGCACTTTGTCAGTGTAAACGACCCCTCTGTAAAATTCTGAAATTCTCCAGGTCAGGGCTTGTGTCTCACTCATCATGTAAACCTTTACTGTGCCCACCACCTGTAGGTCCTTGTCAACATTTGGTGACTGAGTCAGTGGACAAAGATGAGCGGGACACAGAGAGGACAATGTAGGCTGGAGGGGAAGAGGTAAGATACAAGGAAATCAAACAATTACTAGGGTCCACTGTGCAACCCATGCTCTCCAGCTGTCTGGGGTGAGAGGTAAAGATGCAAAAGGGTTTCCTGCTTTGAGAGGCGGTGAGTTGCATTTGAGTCTCAGGGATGTTCTTCAGACTCATTTACACAGCAGCCAAGTTCACAGATATAAGGAAATAAAGACAATAAATAAGAATCCTTTTAGGCTCAGGAGAAGGGAACCTTGCTGTGAGTTCCTCCGTTTCCAGGATGCCCGGAACTGCCCCCGAGAGCCCCCCACAGTGGAGGTAGGTGCAGGGGGCTCTGCTCGCTCTTGGCGGCGGAGAGCTTTCTCCTGGCTTGTTAGTTTTTCCAGTTTGCAAAACATATGATTTCATCTTCCTATTAAAGGTCAGCTGGCTCATCCCACTTCCTCACATCATTTAAAAATTCCCTTTGGGTGCCCAACGGCATTTCTCAGCCAGGAGTCTCGGGAGGGGAAGAACCGGGGGCCTCTCTCTCACCTACGGTGAAACGTGCCTTCGGACTAAGACCTGGAAGGCTGTGATTGCTGTTGGAGCTCAAAGCACTTAATGCAGGAAGCAGGCAACAGCACTCACTCACGTGAAGGGAAAATCTGAATACCATTTTGCAAGGAAGGATGGGAAATAGAAGGAAGTCAAAGTGTGCTGCTAGAGGAATGAGAGTCTAAACCTATTTTTGGGGGCCGGGGAACTCACTCCCTTCTGGCCTTTTGTCTTCACAGTTCCCTTTTCCCCTTTGTTATCCAACATTGTCCCTTACCCTAGTCCTAAGGTGCCCTTGGCATGGTCATCAGACCCTAATGTCGCCGGTGACAACTCTTAGAAAGGCTGCTCTGGCTTAGCTTGGCCTCTGCACCCCCAGCTGAATGCCTAGACTCTCCGACTTCTGTATCCCATGAATCTTGATCTAGTCATGGGGGGATGTTGAGCTGAATAATTACCTGCATTTAAAAGGACGGATCCAGGTTTCCACAGGTCTGTTTCCCCTGATTTTCAAAATTGAAAAGAAACAAACTTGTTAGACGAAACCAGCAGAAGCTCTCCAGTGAACTGCCAGGACGAAAACGTTTCCCAATTGTGGCAGAAAGTTCGCTAAAGGAGCACGGGACCTGACTTTGGGATGAAGCAACTGGAAAGCCGTAGGATTTTCTCATTGAAAGCTCTTAAAGCCAAGGCAAAAACATCTTCGCCCCTTTCTTTCTTTCACTGTGCACCGAGAATGGAACAATAGGAATCCTATGATACAAAGGGTCCTAAAAGCTCATCGAATCCAAACCAACCCCACAGCCTGCTTCTACAGCATCCCCACCAAATGAGTGGCTGGCTGGTGCTTGAATACCTCGAGAGACAGGGAACTCATTCCATACCCAACCAAAGTAGTGCATTCCTTCTTGGATTATTGAGACTGGGAGAAAAACTTTCCTTGTATCAACCTGAAATCTTTATCCATCGCTCCATCCACCCATCCATCCATCTATCCACACTTACTAAGCACTCAATACATGCCCAACATCATTCTAGGTACACTTGTCTCACCCATCTGTTTGTGTTCTTGTCCTCAGAACTACGAAGAACAAACGTGGCCCCTCCCGGGAGCAGGGAGTCCACTCACTTCCTGAGGCTCTGCTTCCCTCCTGGCCTCAAGCAGAACAAAGCAGAGTGGCACCTGGCCTTCTGTCTGCAGTAAGATGTTGAACGCCCTCCACCACACACTGGTCTGAGAAAGTGGAAGGGGTGGTCGGGAAGGGGGTACTCTTGCCCAATAGGACCTGATCTCTTTGGAGGAACCATGGCTGGGAGGGGCTCAGAGGCAGCACAAACATGTTAGAAAGCCTCATAAAGACACCAAAATGGCTGTTTCTCTCACTGCCCCCTCCCTCCAGCTCAGAGAGCTATGGGCATTATCAGTGGGTTCATTTCTTAAAGGCTATCACCTTGCTCTATGCCAGAATTGTTAATACTCTCAACAGAAGTGACATTTTTCTTCACAAGATTTAGATGCCGGGCTGTTTTGAAAGGCAGTCTGTGCGCTTGCACATTCTGATTTAATGGTGAGAACTGAGTTTAATTTGGCTCAGCCATTAACCAGGTGTATGACCTTGAACAAGTCACAAACCCTCTGCGAACCTTCATTTGTTTGTGAGTAATATTAGCAGATTGGGTGAGATGATCTCCAAGCTCAAAATATTCCTGATATGTTTAAACTTTCTGTGTATTTAGCCTTATTACTCTATCGCCACCTACTGGTAAAAATATGCATTTTAACCCTTTTCCTAAAAAAACCTGTTGGGGACATCTCAGGTTTTGCCCAAGGCTTTCGGCACCCTTGAATGACCTGAAGAATTAGAATGCTGTGTGCTCTGTTCCCTCAGCAGGAGGTGAACAGTTCCTGACATCAGGGAATTCCAAGCCTCTTACTCCTGACCAGAAGCCCGTCCTTCTAACTAATGCCACTTTCACTTATTTGCGACGAGTTTGAACCAAATCACTTTTATCCAAAAGCCGAGGGTTGAAAAATATTTGGACAGCTGAGACTTGGTGTTTTCAGACTTGGTAGTAGTGAGAAGTAAATTTGTGAGAATATTTGTTTTCTAGTGTTGAGGAGTAATGGGGTGGTGTCCAGGGAAAAAGAAGTTACAGGACCCATCCCGAGTCTACCACTAGCTGGGGGCCCCGGGGGCTCACCTACCTTCTCTGATCTTCAGCTTCCTCCTGTGTAGAGCTGGGGTCATAAAGACTTGGCCTGCCCTGCCTCACATGGAGGTAATGTGTTCAAAATCACTCCGAAAAGTGTAAGGCACTCTTAGAAAACAGGGGGTTATTTTTGTCACAGTCCTTGCTTGGTCATCTCATGGATACAGTCAGTGTCTGAGAGAAGCATTGTTTCGGAAGGATTTTCATGGTAGAACCGTTACCATTTCCTGAGAGAGTGCTTAGTAGAAAGGGCACTGACCAAGAGCTTCCTAAGGTTAAGTCGCAATAACCCTGTGAGTTAGGTACCACTCTGAGCCCATTTTACAGGTGAGGAAACTGATGCACAGGGTGTGGCCGAGATGAACGTTGAGCCCAGGCAGGCAGGCTCCAGAGCCTGCACTTAACCGCCATCTGTTTATCACACCTGAGGAGTCCTTGTCGCTTCAGCATCTCAGGGTACTCGATTGGGGCACAGAAGAGCACACCCTCTGGCACACCACCTGCAACTCACACTTAATGTGAGGGCACACCACCATCCCTGCTCTAAGCCCGGGCCACGATCTCCACACTGGCTATAGCTCCTTCTGTTCCCTGCACATCTGGAAGTCGCCAGCACGGGACCCAAGCGGGAGCTGCGACACATGGCCCGTAGGGCTCTAAAGTTTTATGGGCCGAAAGCCCAGGTGGCCCTTCAGCCCCCAGTTTCTCCCCAGTGACTCCCCTGGGGTTCAGTATTTGGGAGGAGGTGGCAGGGTGAGAGAGAGCAGGCCTCTGGAACTGGGGAATCGCCACACTCCCTGCCCCTCCCCGGCTGCATGCCCCGAGTGCTGCACAGTCCCTTCTGGGGACTTCCTCTTGCTCTAGTGAAACCGGGAGCACTCAGAGAGCAGCTGTGCTGAAGCCCATCCCACTAGGACTGTCAGAGAAGGCTGGGGACAGTCTGAGGTCCTGGACCAGAGCCATCACCCCAGCGAAGCAGCGACAGGCCCAGGTTTACCGATGGGTTACCCTCCCAAGCTTGGTGTAGGGTGTTTGTTTGGGACCTGGAAGCCTTTTCTCATGGAAACGTTTGCTCCATGGTTAGGTTTCCGGGCCAGTGAAGCTCATCTGATGGTACCATGAAGTCAGACAGCATAAGGATGGTTCTGAGACACAGCCACGGAGTTCTAACTTCTATCATCAGGAGCACACCGCCCCTCTCTCCCCCGGGGAATACAGCAGGAGCAGCCGTGCTAGCATGGGTGGCTCCTGTTCCCATGCAGAGAGCCCTGCTAGGAGAGGCAGGGGCTGGCAGTGGGGCCTGGAGGAGGCGGTGGCATTGCTGATGACTCTGAAGGAGGAGAGTGTGGGACCTGTGAAGGCAGAAGTTCCAGCAGCGGAATTCTAGAATCTGAAAATGTCTGACTCATCTTTGTGCTTCTAACACATAGCACAGTTTCTGGCACATAATATGCTCAGTAAACGTATATTTTTTAAATTAAAGAAGAGTGCCCCTACAGCGGGGCTGCTGGCTTAAAGTGGGGATGTGTGAAGTGACATCTGTGTGCAAAAGGCAGAGTGTGAGGGGGTAGCAGGAATCACTCGTGCATCACTAGTCTGGTGTCCCGTGGAGGAGAGGATGAAATACTGAGGTCAGTGACGACATCATTAGGTCCATATGTGGCTGCTTGTGTCTGTTAATGGGTTGCCCTAAACACAAACAAAGTATTTAATGGGGCTCACGAGATCCAGTCCCATGTGATAGGTTTTTATCAGCGACTGGAATGGAGACAGCTCGCATGTGATATCAGTTCCTGCAGTCAGCCTGCTGAGATGTGCTGTTTTTGTTGAAGCATGTGAAGAGATCTGGCCTCAGACAGTCACGTAGTTGCTGAAGAGAGAACCTCGCCAAATCTTTCGAAGCTGGGTCCTCAAATTACACTTTGAGAAGCACTAGTTGAAAAAAATTAAGAACAATGGGCTTGAGTTCTAGATCGTTATGTCTAACAGTGAGGGGGCTGGGACCTTCCCCACCACTCACTTGAAGTTATCCCATATGGGGACATGCCAGAAGGGACTCATTTTTTGGTGGGAAATTAGACCAGACACACTCTATACAATTCTTTCCAGTTCCGTGATGCAATGATTTTCCAGCTGAAGAATGGGCCGACTCACCAGATGAGCATCATCATATCCGAGGTGAGGCTGGTTGAAGGGTATCCAAGAGCCCCAAACACTCGGACCTGCCTTTCCTGACCTGTGCAAATGGCTTCCCTCCACCTGCAGGAGCCATAAGAGGGCTTGGGCTTCCTGACTATCTAGAGTCTGATTGTCCTCGGCCTGGGAGAGGCCCCAAGGCAATGGCTCTCTGGGAGTTTTGGGAGGGTCTGAGTGCACAGAGCAGAGTGCAGGGATGACGGTGGAGGGAGCGGAGCAGCAGAAATGGGGAGGATTTGAGGGTCAAAAAGGAGCTGGGAGCATCTGTGTGGGTCAATGAGAGAGAGTGTGTAATTATTGGGAGCAAGAAGAGAATGGAGAAGAGTTGGGGACTCAGAGCTAGAGAACAGGAGGTGGCAAAGGTAGAGAAAGGGAAACGGGGACAAATGCTGAAACATTTGGGTTGTTTCAACCTCAGGTTGTTGGGCAGTAAAAAATAGGAGCTGGAGGTTAGGCAACGTGCCTTGTTGCCAGTCACGCCCTGAACCATGTCTGAATCGAGCAGTGTATCTGGGTATTTGCGCCTTGTCCCGGAGGCGGCTCCTGGGATGGGCAAGGTGGTGGCATGGGCTGCCTCAGTGGGGGGCCTCTCAAGCAGCCCCAGACCCAGGAGAGCCCTTGGGCATCCGGACTGGCAGAGATTTTCTCTTTGACACACTGAGAACTGACAAAGCAAACAGACATTTTCTAGAGGTTAAAACAACTTGGCTTGCTCCCAGCTCGGGCAGCCTGGAGTTGAGCTGCACAGGCCGGCAGTGTGTGGGGAGGAAGGCTTTTTGCAAGAGCAGCAGAGCTGGGATGTTCAGCAGCGGGCAGCCTACCCAGGCTGACATAGGCTCCGGCAGGTTTCTGGAAAGCAGCTCCTGGAGAGTCCCGCCTTTGGATACCTGAGGGAGTTACACGGGGCCAGCTGACTTATGCAACCAGCAACTGCTTTCTTCCCTTATTTTGCTGCCTGATGGAAGTGCCCCTAATCAGATTTTCCTTGGAAGCCAGCTGAGCTCTCTGTGGTTGGCTCTACTTTTGGGGGTTGCAGAGGAGGCAAAGATCCTGGCCAAGCAGACAAGAAGGAGTGCCCCACACTTGGCTGCTGGAACAGTCCCTCGGGCCTGTTAAGGCCTAAAATGGCCTTGGAGTCCTTGCCCTGCCCAGAGATCTGATTCTTAAGCCCTTTGTCCAGGACAACAGCATGTACATCGGCAAAGGGGCAACTGTGAAGCTCATAGAAGCTGCTAGGCCTGTCCAGGGGACCCCACAGAGCCCCTGCTCTGATGTGGCATCAAAGCAGAACAGAACCTACCTTCTCTAGGAATCTTTTAACACTGGAGGACCGACAGGTAGCCCCTAGCAAGAGAAGGACCTGAACTCTTCTCTTTTGGAGCTCCAGGGCCCCCATCCTCGTGCCCCACGGCTGCAAAGAGAATTGTGTCCTTCCAGCAAATCTATCAGCTCGTGGCCCAGGCCCCGAGCAGAGCTGGTGGAAGCATCTAACCCTGCTCGATTCTTCTTTCTAATCTCTGCAGCCCTCAACAGCGTCTCAGAGAAGAAACTTGCTCCATCCCTCTGCATTCCCAGTTCTTGGGCCAGACTTCTAAGGGAGGCACACAGAAGTGAAGAAAGGGGAGCCAGGGAGTGTCATAGTTCATAGGAGAATTCCTGGAGGAGAGAGAACGTATCCTATGCCCCGTATCACAGAAGTACTGGAGAAAAATGGCTCTGCCCTTTTGTGGGAAATGATAAAAATGTCACTCTTTCTTTTACCTGAGTTCCTCCTGCACAAACCCCAGAGAGCATCCCTTTTCAGGTTTATAAGAGCCTCGTTACTGAATCCTTAGGAGTTTCTATCACAACCTCCACAAAGCTGCCTCGAGGGAGTGGTGACGGGTGACAGCTTTGCTGACTGAACGGCTTCCTCACAAGTTTCCTCACGAGTCGGGCCCTTGGGCAGTATCTTTTGTTGGCATAACTGGTTGAATGCTCTCCCTCCTAATCGGAATCAAATGGCAAGGATTTGGAAAGGCACACACCATGTAAACAAGCTTAACTTTCCTCAGTAGCTAGAAAGGTGAGTTCTGGTTCTTACCTGGATTGGTGCCGGCGCTGCTTGGGCTGCTGGTGTAGACGGTGGTGGACCAGAGCTCTGCAAGGACATTTGACCAGTCAGAGCAGGAATTTGAATCTAGCTGTTCTCATTCTTTCCATGAGCCAACCTAGCAAGACGTTACCAAGGTCAGAACCAAGCGAAAGCTTGCCTTAGGGGAGCTGAACTTGCCCCAGAGGAGGAGGCGTTGAAAAGGGAAAAAAAAGGATTTAACTCAAAACTCTGACTGGAAATTCCAGGTAATAGTAACTGTTGTATTTCACAATTGTCAAAGTATCTTTTACTAAAGTGCCATATTTCTTTATACTCCATTATTCTTATAGTAATTCTCCTCACAGTGCCACCCCTGAGGTGGTTAAAGCGATCCTTCAATAGAATGTCACTTAACATTTAGCGATTTGATTAAACCGCGTTAACATGGTATTGATGCAAATAGCATTAGCTTTCAATCGTTTTTAGAGGTACACAGTGGGTTAGCCTTAATTACTCTGTCAGGGAATCAGACTTCAGCATTCATTATTCACTGGGCAATTTTTCTGAAGCAAGGCTTTAAAAGGGAGGCGGGAGATGGGAGATTCTGTAAAGAGAGAGGCAAAGTCCATTTTTGGGGAGAGGGGGCCATGTGAAAACCAGCTGAGGGAAAGAACCAAGTCTCATGGAGGGGAAGAGATAAGAGGTCATGGAAAAAAATGTCAGTTTTTCTTAGAACCAAATCTATCTGCCATCAATTTTTCACTCCCTTTGTCTTTGTTCCAATGATTTGGACACAAACTCAAAATAGCTTTAATACAAGTCAAAATATATACTATGGATAGTAAGAAATCACCTACGACCCCTTGTCCAGCGGTTACTGTTTACAATTTTGGTATATAGTGATGTATTCCTTTCTCTATGCACATGTTCCCACGTACAACACACACTTAACAATAATAAGATTGAAACCCATGCTGTTTAGTAGGCTGCTTCTTTGACTCAACAATTTGTCACAGGCCAATGTTCTCCTGTCAATAAGTGCACATATTCACCAAAATTTTAACAGCTATATAGTAACTTCTTTCACTGTTCTGGTGATGGACAATTTAATCGTCTTCATTTATTTTTCTGTTGTGAAAACCTCCGTGTCTAGGCTTCTTCTTTTCATTTGGCTGATAATTATCTTAGAATATATTCCTGTAAGTGCAAATTCTGGGTCATTTCTCCACGCTCTTGCCAAAACTGCGCATTATCAATTTCCCATGTCAATTGGCGAAAAATGACATCTTATTGTTCAATTTGTATTAATTTGATTCCAGGTGTAGTTGAACTCCTTTTGTTATATTTATTGGCCATTTTTGGTTCTTTCCCCATGGCTTGCCTGGTCATGACCTTCACCCATTTTTCTTTTGGAGTATTTGTTTCACTATTTGTACGACTGGATTTTAAGAAAAACCTTCTCTAGACACCTTAAGGAAGCTAAACTCTCAGAGGTGAGATAAATGTTGGTGAGAAGGGAAATTGCATGTGGAAGAGATGGGCAGTTATGGATGCTGGTTTGCTTCCTGTCCCAGGTTTCACTTCTCCACTGAAGCTGCCCTTGGTCAGAGGGTGGAGTAGAAAGGTGAATGATCACAGCCATCACCATGCCTTGCCACTAGGCAGCGCTCCGCTCCCCCTCCCTGGTCTACTCTTCCTTATGGACATATTTACGTTGTTAGATCAGCTGAGGCAGCCATGACACTTGCTGAAATGAACCTGGCCGGGCAAAGCCACTCTACCTTCTGAGCTGTGGTAAATTCAACAGGCCCTGAAGCTGGGCCTGGAGAAATTTCCATCTTTTCTATAACTCTTTGGATCTATTTCTCCAAGCTGCCCCCTCTGGCCCTGAGATAAAGCTCTGTGGCCGCCTGGCTCCTGTGGGTGCCATTAAAGTCCTTGGCCTCTCCCATGAAGCACAGCCTCACTCCCGCCCCTGTGAAAGCTCTCTTTCACTCTAGCTTTTGGCTCCCTTACCCCTATCCTTGACTTGTTCCTCCCAGTCTTGTTAGGTTTGCACATTCATGGGTCAGTTCATGTCCAGCCCCACCTTCCTTCAAGTCCTTCCACTTGCATCAGCTCCTCTTTATGGGCTGGGAAAGCCCCTGCTACCAAGTTTCTACTCTCTACTGGACTCCCTCTAAGTCCCTATGTCCTGTCTGAGAGGAAGCTCTTTACATCATTATAGAGCAAAGATGACTCATAGACCCCAATGCAGGTTGCTCCTTACCACGCACGTGTCCTAAGCTGAAGTGACCTACTGCAGGGATCTTGGTGGGATGTGTTCACTGATGCAGAGCAAGATGTTAAAATGGTGCCTGACACATAGAAGGCACTCAATGATATTTGTTGAATGAATAAATGGACTAGGTTTTGCTTGAATGTCCCATTCACAACCACTTGTAGAATCTTTTGACTACAGTCACATATATAAGAGAAAAAAGAAACCCTTAACAAATGCACTAACAGCGACTTACTTGTCTATCAGCAGTAGGAGAGTTGCTCTCTTATAAGTGGCACAATATTTTCAACTCATTTGAAGAAATAAAGGAGTTATTGATAAACCAAATATTATTTAATATAGTTGGGCTAAAATGTCACAACAAATATCTATAGCTATACATTAAAATAGGCATTCTTGAAAGTAGATTGGTGCTTACCTAGGGCTTGGGGTAGGTGGCATTAGGGGGACATGGTGAGTGACTGTTAATGGGTATGGAGTTTCTTTTTGAGGTGATGAAAATGTTCTGGAATTGATTGTGGTGATGGTTGCACAACTCTGACTATACTAAAAACTATTGAATTGTACACTTTAAATGAGTGAATTGTTCAGTGTGCAAAAAGTATCTCAATAAAGCTGTTATTAAGAAAAGACATAGGCATTCAAACATCAATTTTCCCTTCTCTTCATTCTCACAGAAAGTCCTTTGAATAGGCAATATGAGTTTTAAAAAGTCCTCTCTCTCTTCCTCCTTGCCCAATTTGGCTCCTTTCTTAGCAAGTATGGTGCCTGCTGCCTGGAACACTCGCTCTGAATATTTGTCTAGCGGTCTGTGGGGCAGGGTGGACACGGGTGCCAGGCAAGGATGAAGAGGGAACGCTGATGGGCTGGGAGGCCGTTGTCCAAAGCTCCTGTCCCCAAGCCAGGAATAATGAAGCTTTGCCAGGTGGGGAGCCACTGCTTCAAGTTGCTTGAGGTTTTCCATAAGCACAAGGCCAACTTGTAACAGGACTTCCAAGTTCCCAGTGTAGCCAAATAAATAGGCCACACGCTTAATTATATGTGTTAGGTAAAAATCGACGTCCTCTAAGGAGGCATCAGGAGCAAACAACTTAGCCATTCAAAAATCTTTGAAAGACTCAAGGGCTCTAAAAGTGAAGAGCCTGACATAGAGAAAAAGGAAAACTTCGGGCTATGGGACCCCTGCCACCAGCATCCTTCCTAATTATTTCTCTTTTGCTGTCAGGCATTGTATGCCTCTGTTCATATTACCTTAGGTTAAACAAGAATAGGATGGTGGGGGAGTGTCTAATGTATTTCAGAAATTGTTTTTATGGTATTTTTATTTTGGGACTTTATATCATAGCTTCTTCCATGTCGATCATCAAACAGAATAATAATCATCCATATTTCATAGAGTTGTTGGGAAGATTAAATAAAATAATGCATGCAGGGTGCCTGGCACAGGGAAAGGATGAACTATGTGTGTTCCGTTGTTATTGACTATTAATCACGGCAAGAGTTGGCTGCGTCTGAGGCCCTCTAATCTCGCCACCCCATCCACCTCCAGGAGGGTTGGGCCCCTGCCTCTGTGGTGCTTCATTAGTGCCTGGGGTGTTTGTTGATGGCAGGGATGACTCCTGTAAGCGGAGTCACAGGAGAGCCAGGCTGCTGGGGTTTGAATCCCAGCTCTGCTACTTGCCAGCATGTGACCCGGGGCAGTTTCCTTACTGCCCTAGGTGTCCTCATCGATACAACAGATTAGTCAAATTAGAAGTAATATATCTACTTCAGAGGGTTGTTATGAGGACTTAATAGGTTAATATTCATAAGGTACTTAGAAGAGTGTCTAACACATTGAAAGTGCTTATTTGTATGTGTTAAGTAAAAAGACGGATAGACAAATATCTGGGCTCTGATGTGGAAGCAGGGAAGGGCCACGCTATGTGGCAGTAATGTTTGGAAGGTGAAGGTGAGGCTGAAGAGAATGTGTCCTGGGGAAGTAGGAAATATTTTTTAAAAATTGTGGAGACAGTGGTGGCACTCTAGCTGTGGAATTTTCCATCCCCTTGCCAGAAGATCTTTAGACATGAGATGGGTGCTTATTAGCCCAGGATGGCTAACATATGAGCCTGGGTAGAAACTGGAGACTGGATTATCAAATGAGCTTTTAAGGTCATGTTTGATGTAATACTGAGATTAATTCCACCAACTGGACTTTACTAAAACCTGAAACACGATTTAAGAAATGGATACAAGTGGTAAGACAAAAAGCAATCAGAAAAAGAAAAATTTTAGCTATCTGGCTTTTCCTAAAGGAATTCTTTGGGTTTTGTTTGTTTCTAATATTTGAAGATTTCCAGGAGTACATAATTTGTCACTTAAAACAAAACAAAACCTAAGAGTATTTCCATAGAAACCTACTATCCATTCAACTGAGCTTTGGGAGAAATGGGGATTTTGCGATGGGAAAGTTTCACTTAATATCCTACCTTCCCAAGTATGATAATAGCAGTCCTATTTTTGAATCTATGTTAAGCCCTTTCTAGATGATTTGCTTAGCTCTTAGCTCAGTCTTGAATGATTATTGGGTTCAAGTGTATCCCTTGAATCTAGGATTCAACCACATAGCCCTGGCCCGTGTTTCAGGGTGGTCCCCCCTCACCCAGCTTAAAAAGTGGGAGATGGGAACTACATACAGGCATTTAGAGAGAGCTGTTACTCTAAAAACCCAATCTCCCTCCTTTCTAGTACATAGCAACACACAGTCTACCTACTGACCCAGCTCCTGGCTCCTCTGGCCCATGGGCTGTGGTCTGGGGCTGCTGGTGGAAGAGCCTGCAGATGGGGATGGCTTTGACAAGGTGGTGGTGTGGGTGGCTTCGGCTGTGGTGGTCCTTAGTACCCGTATCAAGGTGACTGGCTGTGCAGTTGTCCCTGGAACTGATGGCTTCTGATAGGCTTTTGTGGTCTCACCTGTAAGAAAGATGGAATTAACCAGGGCCTACAAAATAGCTGGTAGGCCATTCAGGACAGAAATAAATACATGTTTATTGAACACTAACTATGAGCTAAGACCTGTGCTAGCCACCATGCAGGATGAAATCCACCTGCCCTAAAGGAATGTACAATCTGGATGGAGCAATAAGCCAATAAGCAAACCAAAGCTTAAATAACAATAAAATACTTGTGACAGCTCAAAACTATAGCAACATAGACAAGGCAGAACGTGATGAATTGCCAAATTAGTTTCCCAGACACCGGAAGAAATGGTTCATTGAACACATTCTGTTGCTATTTCAATTAGTGTTGGGCTAGTGATGGGAGGTACTCTCAGGGCTTCCACTAAGACTCACTCTTAGAGAAAGCATTCTAGACGATTTAGTTTAAATTGGTTCATGACTAGTCGACTAATTCCTTTGGGCCCCAGTTTCCTCATCTGTAAAATGGAGTAATAGAACTAATTAGGTGCTAAGGATCATCTAGACTGTACTTCTGCATTGTGCTCTTCATCCATGTGTGATGATTTTGATGGCTTCCACAATGAATCTCAATTTGTTAGTACTCTGGGCACCCTGAGAGTATCTCTGAAGGTATAGGGGACAAGTGGCTTCCCATTGGGCATTGGGGATTGTCTTGAGAACCGTGGGTCTGTGCTAGAACGAGACACAAAAGAGCCCCAGAAGTAAGCAGCACCCTAGTCCTGGGAGGAAACAACAGCCACTGGTTGCATGTGACTGTGGGCCCCCCGGGTAGAAGCGGGTATGCCAGCTTTTATATCCATGCATCGGTATTAGTTTCCTGTGGCTGCTGTAATGAGTTACCACAAACCTCGTGGCTTAAAACAACAGAAATTTACTCTCTCACAGTTCTGAAGGCCAACAGCTGGAAATCAGTATCACCGGACTGAGCTCAATGTATTGGCCCGGCTGAGCTCCCTTGGAGGCTCTAAGGGAGAATCTGCTTCCTGCCTCTTCCAGTCTCTGGGGGCTGCTAGCATTCCTTGGCCTGTGGCCGCACCTCTCCAATCTTCAAGGTCAGCATCCTCAATTCTCTCTCTGCTCCATCTTCACATGACCTTCTCCTCTGTGTCTGTCAAATCTCCCTGGCTTCCAGTTTACTGAGGATATGTGTGATGGCATTTAAGGCCCTCCCAGATAATCCACAGGATAATCTCCCCACCTAAAGATCCTTAATCATATCAGCAAAGTCTCCTCCAACCCCTCCCCTTTTTGCCATATAAGGAAACATTCACAGGTTCCAGGGGTTAGGACATGGATATCTTTTGGAGGGGGCATTTTTTGGCCTATCACAACTTCCCAGCAGTAGTGTTAACTCTGCTTAGGGACGATGCACCTTGGTACACAGGACAGCAGGCCAAGGGGATAGCATGTGAGATAAGAAGGTGCTGCACTCTTCGTGGGAACCATCCAATTTCCTCTTTGACATGGTATAGCAGGCTGGGAAAATGGTGTCCAATCATAGCCCCAGACCAGCCGTGCAGACAGACATGTGGTGGGGTGTTCAGACCCACTGCCCAGCACTGGTACCTGCTTGTTTCCCTACCATGACACTGTCACTCTCTGTGAGCATCACAGCATTGACTTAGAAGACCAGGTCAGCAAATAGCACCCTGGAATTGGGTTGGAGTTCGGCCATCTGGTCTACCCTTGCAGGCATTAGCTGGTTAAGGCAGGAAGCAGATCCCTCATTTACCCTGTTTCTCGCTAACAGTTGGTCGCCTTTAAATCTGCCTGTAATCTGTGCCAGACAAATTGCTAAAGAGCTGGCAGTGGCCTCGGGGGTTCAGCCAGTTTTCACGCCATCCTTGGGCAAAACTGAACCTGCGTGATTTATGACACTTCCAGTACTTTAAAGGAATTGAGCTTCCATAACAAGTCCTAGGGAAGTTTCTAATTTCTCTAAAGTGCTCTTCTGTTTTCCCCTCTGGTAAATGCTACCAGGCACTAATGCCTCTTTAGGGAGATGCAGGCCCAGGTTTGACCTGCTTCATAGAGGGAAAAGCCATTTACTAGAATCGTTTGTATATTTTATGAAATAGGATATAATCATTAATTTGGAGAGAAATAGATAAATAAACTAAGAGTACATTTTACTTGCAAATTGTTAATTAAACCACAATTAATTATCTTAAAAATAAAACTTCTACAAAAATAGTGAATATTTTTGTCACTTTAAACTTACTAGGTATTGAAAATCTGGATTCTCTTTTTCTCACACCATTGGCTAATTCCAAGGTTTCTGAACACCCCAGTCTGCCTTTGCTAATATTGATTTACTAGAGAGCAGATTAAATATCCTGAGGGCAGCCATTAGTGTTACTTGCTTAGAACACAGATGCTTTTGAGCATGTCATAAATTCAACAAACAGCGCCCTGTCTGGTCTTCCATGGGCTTCCACAGGCTGTTGTTTTTGCCTACTCTCCTTCATGGAATAGAACTGTCTTTAAGAGGAAGACAGAGAAAATACTCTGCCGTGATTGCTCCCATTTCCTCACTGAACATAATGCCGGATGTGACCCAAAGTGAATTCTTCATGGGACCAGGTTCTTTTCTCACAATTTGAAATAAAACCAGTAAAACAGTTTCTTTGTACAACCTCAGATACAAGGAAGTTTGGTCTCTTTTCAAAGATTTTCATGGGAAAACATTTCAAAACTTCCTTTAACCTCTTAACGTCTTAGTCCTTGGACAAGGTCAAGAACAGCTCCAGACAGCCAGCTTCTCAACAGCAGCAGGAGGTCCTCAGAGCTCCCCACGCCTGGTCTATCAGTAAGACCACAGTGGAGGGCTTAAAATGCAGATTCCAGGGCCCTATTCACAGAGACTCTGGTTCACTGGGTCCGGAGTGGACTTTGGAAATCTGATTTGAGAACCACAGCCAGTGATAGGCTGGACTCCTGGCTCCAGTCCTTACCAGCCTGGCCACTAAAGCTTGCTGAGTTTGGCTCCCTTTCCTGTAAAATGGGGGTGTTCAGACCTACGTGACAGGGCTGTTTTCATAATCAGAGATCATGTCTGTAAGGGGCCCACACAGTGCTTGGCACACGGTGGGCATTCGATAAATGACAGGAGCTGACATTTTTCATCAGGCTATGCCCCCTCCTCTCCTCAGTTGGTGTCACACGTGAGGTGACTGGGAGAAACTGAAGCCAGTTTAGCAGCAATCCTGGAGGTCAGAGTGATGGGGGATTTGGCTTTTCCTGGGCTAACTCATGACATGCCTCAGGGGTATCCACAAGGGCAGGGCATCTAATGAGCATCTGCTATGCACAGGCCACCATGAGGCCTCTTTTACATCAGCATTCACTTTTGATATTAATCACAATCCTGGAAGTCGATGCAAGTATTCTCATTTTTAAGATAAGCAACAGATTTTTCAAGAGGTCAAGAACGGTGTCTAAGGTCACACAGACAATTGATAGCAGAGCCAGGAGTTGGACCCACATTTGTTTGCTTCCAAATTCCATAATTTTTTCCACAAAAGAGGAACCAAGTGGAAGGCAAGTCATGAGTAGCTTTAAGATCCCTGAATGTGTTCCTGTCAGAGGGTGGCAGGAGGTCTCTCTAGGGTTCTGGCAGGGGTAGTCTTATTCTCAGGAGACAGGGAAGGGGGCCTTGGTGGGTATAGGCAGTGAGGGCAGGAGGGGCCTGGGAAGTCAAATCGATTACAATAAACTTGGGCTTGATTTTCTTGTGGGGTGAGGGGCTGTGCAGACGGCCAAGGGGAGCCAGGAGGGGGGTTTCCTGACACTCTTGCTCAGCAGCCTCGAATAAAGATTTACTGTCCCTTCTCCTGCTGCAGCGCCAGCGATGTGCCCTCCCAGCTTTCGGTGAACTTCTACAAATCAACGTTCACCGGTTTTTATTTAGTTCAGAGCAGCTTGAGGCTCTAGCTAAATGGCAGCTGCCTGCCCCTGGTTGCGAGCTGCCGGGGGGCGGGTGGGGGACACGCATTTAAATCTCAGGAATGTCTGTCCTTGCAGGAGCTGCACTTGGCAAGTCAAGATGCTTTCTGTTTCTTGAGTGAGCTAATTTCCCATGGAAGAAGGTTGTTATGCTTGGTGGCGGGGTGGGGGGCGTCATCCTAACCTGATTTACCTGTTAACTCACATTTTTGGAGAGATGAAGAGGGATTTTGTAGGGGCGTGCTGAGACCCGAACAGCTGCTGGCCCTATATCTCCATCTTGTCTGCGTCCCCCAATTTCTAAAGGAATTTTATCATTTAAGGAAGAGGAGCAACAAAGGGGGCCGCCTGTTTATGGTTCTCATTGGAATTTTTTATTTGAATTGGTGACTATAACTTTAAACTTTACTTCCTTTAAAACTTTCAACTATAACTCCTTCTATCTTGAAGGTGGGTGAGACCCAAAGTCTCTCTTTTACATTGGAGTCTGGTGCATAGAAGATGCTCACTACATGGTTATTGAATGAATGAATGAACTTAGTTTTTTAGACTCTGACAACTATGGATGATGTTATAAAGGGATAGTAATACCTGAGAGTGTCATCGAAGGTTGAGACGGTTTGGTAGAGGGGACAAGTGACATAGCAACACCTGATGTTTTAACTATGGCTTTTGCTAATTCTTAATTTAGGAGGAGCAAAGTGTAAGAAAGGCTTCCTGGCTCTCCCACGCTCCTCCTGGACGTTAGTGAGTCAGGCTTATGGAACACGTGCTTGCTGGGGGTGGAGGGCCGTCAGCTGGGCCATGGTGCTTGGGGGAGATAGATAAGTTTTGGAAATGGTCTCTGCTGTGGAGGACGTAGAAATCAAATGGATTTTACGATCTAAGTTGTCCGTCATTTGGCTGTAGTTTCTCTCCCCTCCACCTCTCTCCACCCAACGTTACCTGCTTTGAGGGGATACAATCAGAGTTTGGGTGCTGTATGGGCCAGTTAGAATGGTAATGGGCAAGGTATTAAACCTCACTGAGGGTCAGCTTCCTTATCTGAAAATGGGGAAGACACCAGTACTCTGCCTCAGGGTCAGTGTGTAGTACAGGTGTCTGGCACAAAGAAAACACTCGATAATTGACAGGTACAGTCATAAGAGGTTGTCAGGACTCTTCCCGTTGCTTGCATTCTGGCTAAGGCCCAAAGCTGAAACCAGAAGTCCTCTCCTACCCCTGTTCTAATTGAGGAGAGGTGTCTCTGGACTTCCCATGGGTGGGACCATTCCAGTAGAACCCGCACCATCACCCAGGCCCGTCAGCAGAAGGAAAGGACCAGAAGAAGGGGGGTCAGTAGCCACCTTTTGGGGAGAGCAGTGTTCAGGGTAAGAGGATATTGCCTCCCTTCTTCCATGCTTTGTCCTCCCCAACCCAAATGGAGGGGCTTCAAGAGAATCACTCACCAAGACCACAGGGTCTGCCAGGAGGGGAGACAGGCCTCTTGTTCCCTGCCCACCCTTCTGAGCCACAGCACCCCCTGCCCACCAGGGGCACTGCAGGAGCGGAGCTTGTGGAGAAAGTTCTGGAGAGTATTCTTGCAGTTTAGAAGTACTCTCCCTTTCAGGGTAGAAATAGGGGGTGCTTGACATGTGGTCTCTTCGCGTGCTTGACCTGAAGTTGGGGGCTTACTTGAACAGAGGGATCACGTCTGAAGGGGGGAGGGGTGCTGCTGGAGGGGCTTGGGCCAGCAGGGCTCAGGAGGCCAAAGGTGAGGTGAGATGGGAAGAGAATGGTGACCTCGCCCCATCCCAGTTCTCCTCAGACCCCAGAAGGGAAGAGAATCCCAGTCATTCCCATGGCTCTGTGGGAAGGGGCTGCCCCGGGGGCTGCTGGGCCAAGGGATGGGACACCGAACTCAGAGAAAAGGATGGGGCATAGACCTTTGGCCCAGTAAGAGGGGCCCAGGATAAAGCTGAACACTGCCCCCTGGCTGCAAATATCCACACATATCTCCTCCTCAGAAATCACTGAGAACTGCTGCCCTAGCTGAGACAGCAGAGAGGTCAGGGACACCCACCCTCCCTCCGTCCACTGGCCAGTCCCTTAAGGAGACCTCTGTCACCTATTCCTCTTCTCTGTGCACACACCAAAAGAGGACAGGTGATATCTCAGAAGTGGTCCATGAGCTGCCATCATCTGCTGCCGTCTTAGGGGTAAGGGGTGGGGAAAAGCTGTATCCTTGCAATTAAAACAAAAACAAGTCTAGATTATTGGAATAATTAAGAAGTTATTAAAGATAGAGTTGGAGCAATAACTGGGGGAAAATGAAAACCATTTCCTATTTGTACGCCAAAGCTTCTCAAATCAGGAATCTTTATATACACTGTTATTAGCATAAGAAAATGTAGGATAATGATATAGAGAGGGGTTTCTGGAGCCAGACTGTCTGGGTTTGATTCTCAGTTCTGCTACATGCTGTGTGGCAAAAGGCAAGTTACTAAACTTCTCTGCGCTGCATTTTCCTCAAACTGTAAATTAGGGCTAAGAATAGTACATACCCATGGTGGTGTTGGGGTGATTAAACGCAATAATCAGGTGAAGCTCTTGGAACAGTGCCTGGCACACAGCAAATACTGAATAAATGCTAGCTTCTGTTGCTATTCTTAAACCGTGTCCACCTTAAGTACATGAACGAAATCAGCTGGCCCATGGAGTTTCTAGAAGCAATGCAAAATCCCATTATAAAGCAACTCACAGCTTCTCTTTGTGTGGGATATCAAAGTACCCCCAAAGACACAATAACGCACAGCATAGCTCCCGCTTTAACACGGAAACTAGAAAAAGGTATTTTCTTGGCCTGAGGTCCACCTGTACCCGCTTTGTGGTTCACATGGAGCTGGGTCGGCACGACTTCATAGACAGCATTTCTCTGGCCTGGGTTCTTCAGATTAGCTGCTTGCTGTTATCACATAAGCCACATCATCCTCTCTGCTTCATTTCATACCTAAGTAGAGACAGCCTTTTCCCTTTCAGCTGCCGGGGAAGATTTCCAGACAGAATGTCAGGTCGTCTTCTAATGTAACAGTACAATAACATTCAAGGCAGCAGCCATTCTGAATGAAAATGACACACAGAGACAACCTCCGAATTGTGAAAACAAAAAACAGAAAAGAAGGCCTCACTCTTCAGCCCCAGCCATCTGATCCCATTGATTTCTGTGCCCATGTTCCTGGCATCTGTTAAAATATTACCAGAGTCAGTGGGGCTTGACTGGTTAAGACGTTAATTTCTACCCTATCTCCTAAAACACAATATTGCGTGTTTACGGACTCAGAAGATTTAGATGAAATCACACAGGAACACTTACCTGCCTTGGCAGCTGGGCTTTTAGATGATGAATATGTAAGAGCCGATGGGTAGGTTACACCCTTTTGGGGTTTAGCTTCTGCAAAAGAGGAAAAAAAAAATATTTTTAGAGCTCGAGGTTTTAGATGGTTCTGTTCTGAGAGGTTGATTCCCTCCTTCCAATTTGTTTCCCTTGAGTGCAGTAAAATCAGTTTCCCTGGCACTGAATTGTTGATTACAATAAGAAAGTCAAGTCGAATTCTGTTTTTCTGTGTAGCCTGTGTCTTATTAATATTAGAAAGGAAGCAATAAAATGGAATCACGGAGCATGACTCAGAGTAACATTAGTAACTCTTATTTTGCCTGTGAAGATGTGACACGTAAGCTAAGGTTTTCATACATGTGGCTTCGCATGTTTAATGAGGTCAGTACATGGATGTAAAAACACTGCCCGTGCTCTCCTTTCGGAAGCTGGAGAGCTCGGTTCCCAGGCTGGCTGTGCATGAATGACTCCCTCTCTCTTTCATGGACCCCATGGGAGCCATTTGAATTCCGCGGCACTAGAGAAACCTTAAAGTAGGTAAACATAGATCAGTCTTGAAAATAACCATTTGTTGCCCACCCAGGGAGAGAAAGTTGAGATGCCAGGTGAGGAGAAGGAATGCTAACGTGTATAAGGGAAACAGCAGAGGCATAAAAAAGATAAACAGTCGGCTGATGGGGCTGGGTGAGAGAGTACCAAGCCTGGGATGACTGAAAGTGGTCTGCAGAGCCTTTCTCCACCGTGAAGCGAGCAATGCCTGAAAAACCCCGGGATGAGATTCCTTGAAAAGGAAAGTCAAAGCATCACTGGAATGTAGGAGCCTCCTAAGGGCAAGGAACTTGTCTCACTTGGTAAGTGTTGAATTCCCAGTGCCTAGAGCAGTGTCTGACTGTAGTAGATGCTCAATAAATATTGATTCAGAGAAAGAATATCTTAATGCTTGGATCTCTGTTCAAATTCAAATACCCTGGGGAAGGGTCTCACCGGTTATCCAATATTTACGTCCGATAAAGAAGGCATTTTAACTCTCAACCTGCGGGAACATTTTTATAGGATGGGGCTTGGGGAGGAGACCCGGGGGGTGGAACAGAATTTAGTGCGTGATTTTGCCAAAGGTCCTATTAGCACAAAGGCTTGTGGAGTCATGAAGCAGACAGAAGACAGGGTCTCAGGAAAGGCCTGGGATGGGCAGTAAGAAAATCTAGGTTTCTGTTTCTATTTTACCATTAATTAACTGCCCAATCTCTGAGACTCTCTTTTCTTTTATTCAGGAAATTTGGATAAAGATATGGACCAACTTACTTGCAAAGTTGTAGGGGTCTAATGGAAAAAGAAATTAAAATGTTTTGGAATGATATATCACTAGAGAGATACAAAAAGGTTATTTTGGTATTATCCATAAATGTCACTCAAAGTGAGGATGAGGCACAATATTTGAGCTTACTTGCGTTACTTCATCTCAATAAAGTCACCTGGGAACAGAGCTTGGCATTTGAGGTCCTCGCCCTTGCCTGGGCTTGCTCCACAGACAATGATTGAGGTTATTTCAGACCCAAGGAGGGCCCCCTGGCTGTGGGCCTCCCTTTATCAGCAGAGCGCTGCAGAGACATCGTCTCTATTTCCTATTCTTCTCACATCTAAAATCCTACGGTTCTTTCTGTTTCTATTCAGAAGGAAAAGGAGCATGAGCTGAGTTTTCTGAAACGCGGATCAAAGAACAAACGGGCAGTATGAGGAGGGTCCTCTCTGACCTTTCCCATCCCTGGACTGTCAAAAGATCGAGCTGACCAAAAATGCACATCCCCTCCCCCGCCCTCGGCTCCCAGCCTGCCAAAGTCAATTAATTGAAGGAGCACAGTGACGTGTGAAAATTAGAAATGAAAACCTAGAGAAAGGTCACAGAGGCATGAGCCTTTGGAGGAAGATTCTGACATGATCTGGCTAAACTTGTTAGCTGTGAGCCTCTGAGCAACGGGAAACACCTCTTAGTACCAGTCAGTTGCTCCCCTTACGCTGCAGTGTGCTCTAGCTCATCCATTTGAAAGAGACTCCTAGCCATTGCAGAAGCACAAATGTTTATTACCATTGGCCAAAAATGTCACTAGGTGGAATGAAAGGACATGGAAGTTGACACTTACAGAGAATAATTTCAGCAGATAGATTTTCATTTATAAAACCCAAAACATCTCTACTCTCATGGAAATAATTTTTCTTTTAAACCTCTGTTGGGATTCTTGGACTGCTGGCTAAGCCTGTTTGCTTGGTAAACACCTATGTGGAGATTACATTTCTCTCTAGGCTCAACAAATTTGTATTCTAGACCTTAGCGTTTTCATACGGCCCCTATGCTGAATGTTTTGTTTGAGGCAAACCTCATGGTACTGTCCACGAAAATAGTCCATAACCAATCTATAAATGAAAATTTGGGTGAGTTTATTCTGAGCTGAAATCTGAGGACCATGGCCCGGGGCCTTTCTTCCCGAAGCAAGAAAGGGCACCAAAGAAGTCAGGTACACAGAGTGGTTATATACCCCCAACGAGGATGCTTTACATATGATTGCAATGTCCCTCCCACAATAGTCACAAGATTGCCCTGTGGTACAGTGCTTGATGGACACAACAGGTAGTGCATCTGCTATCTCAGAGGGCGTAGCAGGAGGCAAGCATTGTCTTGAGCTGGGTGGTCACAGGTGAGCGCAGCAATCAGTTCCTAGCCTAAGGAAAGATGCTTAATCCTCAAGGGAATGCCAACGTTGGGAGGGGGAGGGAAGTTGCACCTTTATCTCAAGGGCCTTTGTTCTTGCCAGAGGGAATATCTAAAGCAGATATACAATGCATGCTCAACAGCCACGGTCAGGCTCTTTTGGAAAGACAAGGTCAGGCCGAATTAGGTTTATACCAAATGGCTTCCTCATATTCTCCAATATATCCTATTGCTTGCCATTTTTATTTGTCAGTACTGTGGTTGATGACCTCCACTCTCTGACGTAGAAACCGGTCTAATTTGAACCATAGGTGTGCAGAATTCCATAGATAAGAGGAAACAGGGATTGCTCAAGTTGAGAAGAATCCTAAAAGGTCTGTTTGTAGCCCTATTAAAACTTTGAACAATGTAGGATAGCAGGGTTTGGGGCATGGGACAGCTAAAGGTGCTAAAAAACCACCCAGATTGGAAGACCTGCTCTGAGACATTTCTCTCTTCCTTGCTTCAGTTGGTCTTCCATAGGTGGCTCCTTCTCAGGAGAGACACATGGCTCCTAATCTTATTAAGATGCCAGGAAGGTTTTAGAGAGTGTAGTTCAAAATCCTGTGGAGCCTCTTTGGAGAAAATGGGAGCCCAGGGTAGGGTAAGCGTAAGGTGAAGATAGAACATCGTGCTGTGCTCAAACATTAATGGGGGCAAGTCAAAAGATTGGAGGGCTCCCACTGGCCAAACCTGGAAAATCTGAGCACCAAAAAAATAATGATGATAATGGATTATAATATATTGTATTTTTAAAAACAATCCGTGAGTCCACAGGGATACTTGAAAAAATGTATGGAGAGGGGGAGAACCCCTCTTCTTTATATAAGAATACTAACAAATGTAGAAGGAATGACAGAATTAGAACAACTGTAATTGTGCAATTACTAATGTAATTCTTGCTATAGCAAGGATCATCAATGGATGTTAAAACCATTGGTTAAAATTTATTGGGGAAAAAGCTATTCATGCTGTTTCAAAGCATCACCCTACAGATTGCTTATTAATGACAAAGTACGTTTATCATGGAGAGATACTGTAAAATACCCAAGTAATAAGATTTAGCATCACTAACAATTGGACATACTGACATTACGTGCCTCCCGACATGGCCATTGTGATATGACACAATGGATGTGCTATGATACTACCTAGGTAATGTCTTTGTCAAAATATTTAACCTGCATCCAATCATGAGTAAAACCGTTGGACCTGTTTGTGGTCCAGAGTGTGGGATATTGTACTAGACAACTGGCTGGGACTTAAAAATGTCACTGGCATCCATGACCAAAAAAGCTAGTGCAGTGATAGACAGTTATAGATTAAAGACTAAATAGATGTGACAACGAAATGCGATGGATGATCTTTGATTGGATTGCAGATCTCCCCCGCCTCCAGAAAAGCAGGAATTACCGTAACAAAGATTTTAGGATAATTGGATGCAATTGAATAAGAGCTATTTATTAGAGAATATTATTGTATCAATGCTAATTTTTTAGGTGTGGTATTGGTATTGTGGTTATTTAGGGAAATGTTCTTGTTCTTACAAGATGTGTGCTGAAGTATTGAGGGATAAACTGTCACGATGTCTGCAGCATGGCTATTTTCACATTTTCACGTGGCTCAGAACAAAATGTAGACAGACGATAGGTAGATGGATAAAGCAGATGAGCAAAGCATTAACGATTGGTGAATCTAGGTGAAGGGAATATGGGTATTCGTTGTACTATTTTTACATTTTTTATGTAAATTTTAAAATTTTCAGAATAAAAGATTAGATTGGGGAAATTCACAAAAATAGAAAAAAGGCGGAGGGCCGGTCATGGCAGTCCAGAGATACTTGGTCACCTCTTCACACTAGTCATTAGCTCATCTACTAATTACCTCTTTGGAAGAGGGGCAAAAAGATTGAACATGATTATCTATAAAATCCCATGGAGCTAGATAATGGAACTGACTAGTGAAACAATTAATTAAATAAAAGGAAATCTCAAATTAAATTATAGCTCAGTCCTCTAAGAGCCTATGTCCCTATCTACTCATTTGCCAGAAATCTTAAGGAATGAGTTTCCAGATACGAGGCATATTTGGCCTAACTAAAGGAGTAGTTCAAAAACCCAAGTTATTAAATGTAATTCACTTAATTACAAGTTTGATTGAACTTATAGATAACTGCAGTGTGTTTAAAATGAGCAATTGGAGCTTTTTCCTATTCCCAGACTTTGTAGTGGCTTAGCACTGTAATTATATTTCATTGTTTCACGATTCTAATCATCAGAAGAACTAACGCTTCAGATTTCTATGAAATGACGTGGGCCATAAACTCAAACTCATAGCACATTGAGAAGAGCACATTTCATCCCATGAGGTCGCTTAACCCAAGCGCCCTTGCTGAGCAGCATCTCTCCAGCGTGTGGGCATACCTGAGACGATAAAGGATTCTCTCCATCGTGGTAGGGATAATGATTGGACACCATTGGAATAACTCCCTTTATAGCCAGACTGTCCAGCAACTTTCCGAACAAGTATTTTCCCTCCTGAATTATCGAGCACACCACTATGAAGAGAGAAAAAGTAATTTTTAAAGAAGGAACAAAAAAATATTGTTTGACGTGATCAACAGATTATCAAACCAGCCACCATCTTTATTTAGAAATACGAAAGCAGCGACATTAAGAAAAGGTTTACCTTGACCTGCAGCCCAGTCCTCAAGAATGGTGCCTCCATTGCACAGCCCGGCATCTGACCTCTTGGGAGGAATGCCCATCTCGTTCTTATTACAGGACCTGATGGTTCCATCTGTCAAGAATTTCTCTTTGCCACCACGCCACCAAATTTCTTTTCTTTGGTTTCCTCATTCCCACTAGTTCTTTTAATTAAAACCTCTTTCCTGACAATTTCCAGTTTGGTTTTGTGACATCACTGAATGACTCCAGTTATTTCAAAGGGTGGTAAGACATTTTTTAAAGCAAATTGTTCCTTTTATGTTGGGCCAGAGAAGGAAGGAGTGCAGCTAAATTAAACTCATTAAAGAGTCCGCAAAGTCTGGAGATTGTCTCTTTCATTTCTAGGATTTTGAAGGTTTTAGATACTGATGTGACAGCAACCGACATATCTACCTCTTTCCTTCCACGTGAGGCAGGGGCTCCATTCTGGTTCTTAGCTGTCACTTTCACGTTGTCGTTTCCTTGCCCCAGAGCCTAAAATGGCTCCTTTGGGTATCTGTAATTTATGGCATGGGGGAGCTAAAAAAAGTACTTAGATTTGTTCCCATCAACACCCTTCCTTCCCTCCAGGAATGAGAGTGGCCATTTCCTGCTCTCCCACCTTCGTAGTGAGTCAACAATTTTCAACACCCAACTTCCCAATGACCCAGAAGGAAAGAAAATGATAATAATACTTGACAGGTGAAGCACTTGATTGCTTTAAAATCATTCCCACATACGGTATCTCACTGGGTCCTCCAGGCAAACCTGTGAGTTGTGGAGTGGAGGGAATGCTGTTATTCCTGTTTCATAGAAACAGGCTTAGACAAGCTCAGTGACTCACTCTGGATTTTGTCACTAGTAAATTGCAAGGCAAGAATTTGAACCCAGGTCTAACTGACTCGGAATCCTGGATTTGTACCCCTTGGTCGCAGTTGCTACTTGGGATTCAAAAGCACAGGCATCTCCAGACACCAAGTCCTCATCATTCCGTCACTTCTTTGCAACCCAGCCCTCTCTTTCCTCAGGAGCTCTCAGAATCAATCTGCCTGCAGCCAGGCTGGTCCCAGCAACCCTGATGGACACACAATTCCCACTCACACGTCTCTGTTCATGCTGCCCTTTCGCTCTGGAAAACCTGGGTCCCCCTTCTGCCTGACTGGGCCTGTGCAGCCGCCAGGTGCAGCTCAGTCCAACAACATCTCCTTCACAGAGATTCCAACGTGACTTAGCTGTGCCCCTTCCTAACAACGTTTTAGAATCTTGTCTCACATCTGAGACTGATTTTATTTGGTCTTGTACTCTTTCCCAAAAATTTCTTGAGTTAATTTTGTCTCCCATTCAGGTTGGAAATTTTCTTACAGAAAGAACAATGTTCTATGCTTCTGCCTTGGAAGGCCTGTCAGTGGTGTGTGGGAGATGCTCATATTGGCTTGCGAAAGCCAATTGTTAAGCTTTCAGGATTGTACAAGCTGGTTCATTTCACACTGGTAGACTGCAATCAGCCTTGGTGGGAGGATTTCTACCACAGAAATTGGTAAATCAGCACCCCTACCCCTTTTCGGTGAGCTGGTTGTTAAACATTCATTATCACACCGCTAGCATAGGCTGAAATTTCTAATTATTAAAAAAAAATTATCCTATGGTCCCTTTGCTTATAATTAATAGGGAAATAGAAATAACTCTACCTTTTTATTTTCCCCCAGAGAAATTATTCTGCCCTTGGATTTATATTCCATTGTGTTGAGAAAATGTGTGCGCGCGCAGGTACTTGCTCTTGTTTAAAAGTCAGAAGCATTACAGCTGCCATCAGAGTGAGGGCAGGAGCGGCCTGTGCTGAGCTTCCTTTGGGCAGTTTGAAGGGGATGGACAGGGCCCAGGGGGTTCTCAAGCCGCACTGGGCTGGGGACATCCCCGTGAGGGTTATGGAGGACTGAAAACTCAGACTTTAGGAAAGGTGCAGATGTGGAACTATTGTGTTCTCATGAGGCTTTCCTGTGGCAGACAAGAGTGAAGCCTCATCTTGTGGGTGGACTTAACTGGAGGACATGGATATTCCCAGACATTCTCCTAGGGAAGGGCCGATCCTGGGAAGATCAGTGGTCTGGAAACTACAGGAGGCAACTGCAGTCTACAGAGGTGGAAGGCACCAGAGACCGGACCACTGTAGGAGATACGGGAGGAAGGAGAGAGCCTGAAAGAGGCTGTGGCTTCACTTATGTGGCAGATGGGGACTCAGAGCCATGGTAATTTAGAGAATTTATGTAAATGTGACCTTAATTGTATCCTCCCTCAGATATAGGAACTTTGTATATATTCTCTGAAAGCAAAACCAGCTTCACTTCTTTGCATTCCTCAGACACCCTGTGTGTTGCTGAACATGGCCTTGAGGTTTGCCTCCTCCCTGACCCTGAGGACTGGGATAAGCTGAGTGCCAGCTTCTTGGCTCCTTGACTTCTTGGCTTCTTGGCTCGGAGAAAAGAGACTGCCCACTTTGAGGCCAGGTTTTGAATGGCTGCCACTCTCATAGCAGGCTTCTGTTCAGAAATCAGTGTGAAGAATGCTCTGCATGGAGACGGCCTCTTCATTGCCCGGCACAGAGAATTCTCCCCCATCCCCAGCACCTGGGCCCACTTTAAATACAGAAATTAGTTCAGGGCCAGACTGAGCCAAAATATGATGTGTCGAATATGTTCATTATCCATTTGGTTTGAAAGAATCAAGGAAATCATTCATAATAAGACATCTGATTATGATATATGGTATGAATTTAAGCTAAATCTTAATTTCTAAATCAAAGTATGCTCTCTGCAGTTTCCCAGTTCCGACTGTGGGGGACTCTGGCAGGACCATGATGAACGGTCCCTCGTGTACTTTCAACTCACACACATTCTCTCTCTTAAATCTTGCCTTCTGAAAACCGACTTGTTCTGTTTGTGAAAAACGGAACTGATAGGATCCAAAATTCCTATCTGTTCTCCCTTAAGACTTCTATTCATCCTCCCCGTGGACAGTGATATTACTTTCCAAATAGTTTCCCACTGTATCAGTCACTGGTCCAGGAAGCTACAATGGCACTCAGTTGCTCAAGTGGCAAATCTTGTTTTTTGAAACATTCGAGCTCTCCTCTGCCCCTCTGCCCTCATGTATATTCTTTTTAGCAAGTTCCTACACTCCAACCCAAACACTAGGATTGCTGAGTCCTAGTCATTGTCAACGCTCTTCTTATTTTCTCCCCAGAGGTGTGTCCATCCATCATAAAGCCTTTCCCAACTTTGACTGCTCCAAAGTCTGCATCCCCTTCACGTCCTCACTTTATACACTACGCAGTACTGGGACCCCTCCCAATTCTCATGTAAATCTATCATCTGGGGAGCTGGGCTGGAAGTCACGGGACATAAGTTCTAATCCTGAATGTGCAACTAACTAGCAATTTAATTAACTTCCCTATGCTTCAGTTCCTCTTCTAACAAATGAGGATGCTAACAGCAGCCCCATCTCAACCTCAACTAGAGTCATCTCAACCCTGTGATGCTAGAAGGAGAGAATCACAGTGTCAGAGAATCACAGTGTCGTTATGATATCTTGGTGAGGTCAACTTAACTCACTTGGCTCTGTACTGCATAGGAAAAATGGCAAGGCAAGAGAAAGTCAGCAAATGCCAGAGGAAGCAAGTGCCAACCATCTCAAATCACAGCTGGAAAAATACAGGCAACCTTAAGACAGGCTCAGCCTCTGTAGCAGGTGTCAGTGTCTACACAGACACAGATCGGAGAGTGCTGATGGTTGTGGAGCTGTATGGGCATGCAGATGTGTGTGAGTAAAGCTGTATGTGAGCACGCACATGTGTGCAAGTGTGTGTGGGAGGCACAAACGTGTGTATAAGCACATGTGTATGTAAATAATTGTGTGTGGGCATGCAAACGCATATTCCTGCACATGCATGTGTGTGTAGATTTGCATACCTCTTGCCTTTTTGCATGAAATTGATTTCAGTGTGAAAACAAAATATTTTTACTCCATAGTCTGGAGTTAAGAACAGTGTTTGGTGGTGTTTTTCTTCAATGTTCCATACTTATGCTTAATAGAGCCTTCGTACTCCCCCTCCCATTAAAACACCAGTTAGCTCATCATCTCTCTGTGGTGATGGGGAAAAGAGGAGTTTGCCAGCAAAATCTACTAGTAATTCTTAAATCTAACTATTTTATTTTATTTTTTTGAGGAAGATCAGCCCTGAGCTAACATCTACCAATCCTCCTCTTTTTGCTGAGGAAGCCTGGCCCTGAGCTAACATCCGTGCCCATCTTCCTCTACTTTATATGTGGGATGCCTACCACAGCATGGCTTGCCACACGGTGCCATGTCCGCATCCAGGATCCGAACTGGTGAAACCCAGGCCGCCGAAGCAGAACGTGCGCACTTAGCTGCTGTGCCAGCACGCCTGCCCCTTAAATCTAATTTTATGCAGAGATTTTTCCTTACCTCTTCCCCGAATTTCAGAAAGGCTATTGAATAGACACCTTGGAAGGGAATGAATGTCACATCCTCATCTCTCTCTGGCAGAGACACCACTAAACGATCAACTGACTGGTGTGCAAGGAAAGAAAAAGAGACATCAGAAGCCTGAATAGCTCAGAAACTTCATCCAGGATCCAGTAGCCAAGCACTGACTCAAAAGCCATGTCTCAAAGCAGTGCCAGGCAGTGGTTAGGAGCGTGGGTGCTGGACTTGGGTTCAAGTCCTCACTCTGATACTTTTTAAAAGGTGTGGCTTAGAAAAACTATTCAACCTCTCTTCATTATTAAGACGTGGATAATAGTAGTAGATACCACATAGGGGAATTGTGAGAATTAAATAAGATAACATAGGTCAAGTGCTTGACACTTACATAGCAGCCTTAGTCTCAAAGATATTAAGTAAACATGAGTTTCCCTGTGATTTGACTCCAAGCTTAAGCAAAAGAGGCATGAGGATTCTGAGAAGGTCACTTTGCCTCTGCTTATTTAGGCAGTGACTTAGTCCAAAGCATGTCATACCTCCTGTCCTCCTTCCTGGATCCCAAACCAACAGCTGACCAAGCAGGACCACCTGTCACCCTCCTTCTCACTTTTCCTGTTCCCATCTGTCTCCAGGCCATCACCACAGCTGTGACATTTCTTCTCCAATCTTCTGGACCTTCCTTAGTCGCATTTCTATTATTTCTTTGCTCAGCACAAAAGGGTAGAAAAAAATGCTTTACGTCATCAAGGGCTTTGTTTCCCTTGTCGTGAACACAGAAGAGTAGAATTCCTTTCTCCTCCCATTAAGATTTAAAGAGAAGTCAGTCCTCCTTTCCACAGAGCTCTGTGAAAGGAGATCCAGGACCATGCGTGGCGTCTGGGTCATCCCATGGCATAGGGTTTCCAGATGAAATACAGTATGCTCAGTTAAATTTGTACATTTTTGCTTGCTAAATCAGGCAACTCTGAACCGGAGGCTCCCTACCTAAATCCCGATTGCTAGTTATTAAGTAGCTCAGAGTTACCCACCTGTGAACTGCAGCGCCACACACGCTGGAGTAGGATGCGTAGATGTCCGTACCATAAACGTGGTATCTGGGGTCTTGGCATCCTGCTGGACATTTCACAACAAACTCAGGATTGATTATCTTTCCAGCTTTGACATCACAGTTGATCTGAGGCACAGCTGGGAATGCAAGATGAGGTCAAAATTACACCTTGTGGTAACAGCTTATACATGGGGTGACTCTGTTAGGTCATAACTGTTTATTTACTTAATCTCTAAAAGCCAGAGCCTGGGCTGACCCTGGATCCCCTCCATATAATGAAAGCAAAGACGTAATTAGGACATTCCTCAGACAAAAAGAACAACAATGACCATCCATTGCATTTAACCTGCTGAGAGCAAAAACAAAAGGCTCCTTCCTGTGCTTATTTGGGCCATCAGTTTACTGAAGAAGAGAACTCTGGGGAAAGACCCACCTCCGGTGGCCAGAAATGTCATCCTGACTCCATGGCCAGTGAGTACTGGTTTCTCAGGTGCTCTGGAAGTAGCTCAGGAAAGAAGAAAACTCTCAGACAAACTTACGAGAGGAAGAAAAGGTATTCCAGGAAGGGAAACGAGGGAGCCTGGGTCCTGGGGTCAGGACCGGCTGGGACAAGATTGGCCTCCTGCAACAGAGGCCCCATGCTGGGGAACGAGGCTTGAGCACTTGTGTTCTGTGAGGGATGTGGGACTCAACATAAGGTTTTTGGACAAGAGAGATAGATAATGAAAGTGATTTTTTTAAAGAGGTATTTGTTGTTTTTTTTTTTTTCCTTTTTCTCCCCAAAGCCCCCCGGTACATAGTTGTATATTCTTCATTGTGGATTCTTCTAGTTGTGGCATGCGGGACGCTGCCTCAGCGTGGTTTGATGAGCAGTGCCATGTCCGCGCCCAGGATTCGAACCAATGAAACACTGGGCCGCCTGCAGCGGAGCGCGCGAACTTAACCACTCGGCCATGGGGCCAGCCCCAATGAAAGTGATCTTTTGTCTTGGTCCTAGAGGATGTGTCCTAGATCGGGGGACAAGATTGAAGTGATCTTTTCTTGTTTGCCTCAACAGTTGGTGGGAAACTGGGCCCTCCCCTTCTGAGCATCCAGGGGAAGCTCATTCATCCTTTCCTTCCTCCTTTTCAGATTGTGACTGCCTCTGCCGGGCTAGCACTATCCAGCAGGCAAGTCCTCTGGAGCTGAAAGCTTGCCTGGGTGTGAAGTGGAGTAGATGCTCTAGTGGCAGTACCTAAAATGGGATGTGGCTGCATCTTCCTTGAAGAAAATTTCCCTCAAAAGCTCCTGAAAGGAAAAGGTCTCCTAGACGATACTATGCTGGTGCCCTTGGAGCTGGGAATGTGTTCCGTTCTGGGCCCCGTTCTTCAGAAGGGACTCGAAAACATGAGCACAGGCAAAGAGTAAGCAGGCTCAGGAGGCAGCTGGAAACCACCACACGTGAAGGCTGGCTGGCAGAAATGGGTTGTTTGGCCATAACAAGGCGAGAATTTGGAGCCAAGTTGTCTTTACAAGTAGGACATTTGTGTGCTATGACACCAGAGGGCTGAGCTAGAACTAAAGGGCAGACTTTCTATAGAGGCAAATTTTGCCAAGAACTTTCTAGTAATTGAAGTTGCCCTTGAAGGAATGGGCTGCCTCATGAGCCGTGAATGGGCTGGGCGCGCACAAGCAGGGACTGAACTGATGGAGAGGAGATTTCTGCATTGAGTGGGAGGTAGAAATAAAGCCCCGCCCAGTACTGAGCCTGTGATTGCACACATGGATTCAGGATCTCTGCCAGGCCACCCACCCTCTCACTGGGTTACTGAAATGGTCTCAGAGTTGTTAATGGCTTCCAGCTGTATCCAAAATGCATGGTCTTTTTTTTAACCCTTAATATACCTAAATGGAGCAGAGTTGCTGCTCAGTTAGACTGGATGGAGAACTGAAGTTAGAACTCCTGCTCTTTTCTTCCATACCCCTCCCAGACAATCAGGGCGGGGCCAGCCTGGGAAGTCCTTCTCCTGGGAGCCCAGAGGCTGAGTTTGGTCACAGGCTAAAAACAATTTGTGGTCGACATTAAGAAGTGGGGCACTGTGCTTAAGACAGTTTTGTGGTTTCTTTCTCCCCACCGCAGGTTGCCTCCTCTCCGAAGTTATTTCCTTTTTGTCTTTCATTCTTTTAAACCCTGATACTCAAGGCTACATATACTATTTTGAGACTTAGAGTACTTTTTTAAAAAGGCAATTTAGGGGCTGAGTAGTCTCTCCTTAAATTAGTTAATTGTCTGGTCCCTGGGTGTAACCGAATGCGTTCAGCTCTCCTCCCTTCCGCAGATTGCTTCCCCACTCCCAAATGCATCTCCTCCCTTAGATGTAAAGAAAAGGAAAGCATCCCTTCTTGGTTCTTAGTTCTTTGAAATAGGAGGTGACAAGCTCTGTGAACGGGGATTCAACTTGGATGTGACTTTGGCTCCCTAAGATTTTGGATCTCCAAATCTTCTGGAGTCGAGTAAATGGAGTCTATCTAAAAGTTTATTGCATGAGTGTTATACCATGACCAATCCAGTTCAAAGACTTCAGGGTGCACACAGCGCATGCCGTAGGATTTCCCACGAAATAGTTGGTTTAAAAAGACCAGGGGAAAAATGTTACATGGGAATATTTTTCTGTCCGCTAATCAAATATTCCCCCTTCCTTTAGGGGCATTTTTTTTGTTTGTTTCTTTGTTTTTTGTTTTGTTTTGTTTTTACAAAGCCCTGAGAAGTACCTTGAATAAGATTTACTTTATCGGCACCTGACTGGATTAGCAAAATTGATGAATTAACTTCTCCCACAGTCGGGAAAATGAAATCCAGAACATACGTTTGTGCACTTGGGGAAAACAGGGTGCAGGGGCAAAGTGAGGCTAAAGGTCAAATATTTGTTAAATTTGTACAGAACATTAAGCTGGAGAGAGGGAGCTAATTAAAATTTTCAGAGTAATTGCTAAAATCACTGGAAAGTGTAATGTCTAAATCTAGCAGGGCAGAAGCAGCCATTTGCATCTTTTTGGCAGCTCTTCTTTGGGCATATGGAAACCATGGTTTATTTCTTTACAGTATTCTCCTACTTATTTGTGAAGTAGTCTTTAGCCTTCCAAGAATCTTCCATCCGTCCACGGAAGGCCCCGGTGAAATGGTTCATCTTTGCATTTCCTCTGAAGACTTTTTGAATTCTTCAATGGTGACAGCTTACGTTTTCTTTTTCTCTCTTTCTCTTTTGTTGCTTAGGTTCATTTTATCTCTGTTCCCCCTTTTCTGGGTTTTATCTTAAAAGTGTGGAAATAAGACTTCCTTAGGAGAACAAGTCAAAATTATGGCAGCTTAGGAAGCATCATTCTTAGGTCTGAAGGGAGCAGGAAGACCTTTGGCAAATGCTGAAACGGAGAGTCGGATGGGCGGGGGTGCTGCGGACCCCATTATTAACCTCAGGGGAGAACTTAATTGGAAGTCATAAAGTGGTTTATTCATTTGGAGAAAGCAAGAAGACAGACTCTTCCATTCCTTCCAGGGTGGACAGTTGCTCGTGCCAAGGGAGACCTCAGGCTAATGTTACAGGGTCCTGGCGGAGCCCAGAACCACATCAGTGGACCCTTTCTGCAGAAACCTGTTCCTTGGCCGTCTGCTCTACTTCTCCCTCTTAGGATTCCTTAAGGTTACCTTAAGGCCCTCTCATGGTCACTGTCACTTTCATGACAGAGCCCACATTAGAGCATCTCAAAATCTGCCAAGGATTCCTTCCCACAGGCCCTTGGCACCAGCCACAGGGCGAAGAGAAGAATCATTTGCAACCCAGACGGTTAGAACTAGGGGATAACCTTTAGATGCTGCTCATTGAAGGAATGTGTCTGTTGCACTGATCTCAGACGGGTCCTGGGCAAAACTGGTAGTGTTTGAGCCACTATTTTCATGCGAAGTTGGAATGTTAGAGGCAGAACTGCAAACGTTTCTGCTCTGGGTTTGGTCTCCTGCCTGCTCTAATAACAGAGTGATTCTTGGGTGATGTCACATACAATAGGCCAATGATGTAGTGAGCCAAATCAAACCGTACACTCTACTTCTTATTTTGTCATTCATCTTTTCAATTATCCCAGGCAAGCCACATTTCTTCTAGAAAGCAAATTTCCTAATCAATAAGAGGAGGCCATTCGTTGCAGGCTTGCCTCCTGGCTGTTAATGAGGAAGAATTATTACAACATAAAAACACTTATGCATAAATAGTTTTGATATTAACCTTGATTTTGTTGGACTGTGATATTCGACTAGAGTAAAATTCTACTTTTAAGAGAATTATGCAAAAAAAAAAAGTTAGTTTAATGAAATAAAAATGGCCATTGACACCCAGTGACCAGGTCACGTTAATTCTTCTTTTGTAACGACTTCTTTTGCAAAGCCCTCTTTTCCATTTTTCTTAAACAGTCTTTGATCATGTTGAATCTTTGCTCAGAAACCATCAGCAGCTTTTTGCTGCCTCGAGGAAAAATTCCTAAATCCTTAAGTCCTTTCCACAGTTGGCTCCATGGAACTTCAGGGCTTGCCCATACTATCCCTGGTAATTTTCAAATGTGTGTTATTCGGCTTGTATTGTTTCTCACACCTGGAACCCTTTTCCTTTTCATTGGTTTAAATGCTGCTACTTTTTCGAGGTCTGGGTTCCACTTATATCTTCATTCATCTACTAGAACATACACGCCAGGAGGGCAGGGATTATTGTCTGTTCTGTTCACTGCTGCTCAACAGAACGTCTCCCGAATGATTAAATGAATGAATGAAACCAACCCATTACAAGTCCTATTAGTCTTATTTCCAAATCTGCTATTTCTCTCTACCTCTACCTTGTTCCAAGTCACTGACATTTCCTGTGTGGACTATTAACACAACAGCCTCCTATCTTGTCTTTTTCCTTCCATGTTGTATACCCTTCACCCCAGTCCTTTCTCTACTGAACAGCCAGTGTGATGCTTTTAAAAATGTAATCAGATTTCATCACTCTCCTGTTTAAGATCCCTAATTGGCTTCCTATTGCCCTTAGGATAATGTTCCAGTTCCTGAAGTTGGTCTACAAGGCCCTAGAAGATTTGGTCTCTGTATTCCTCTCTACTTATTCTCTTATCACTGTTTCTCGGACAGTGAAAGGGGCCAGCCAGCAAAGGACTGGGAGAAGGACCTTTCAAGCAGCAGGAAGAGGCAGGGCAAAAACTCTGATGTGGGAATGTGCTTGGCAGTTTGAAGAACATAAAGGAGGCCAGTGTTCCTGGAGCACAGTGAGTGAGAGAAAGAGGTCCATGATGAGGTCTGCGAGGTTAGCAGGGGTCAAATCACATGGGGACTAGACGAATTAACAGTTCCACTCTGACCAAGATGTCAACAATTGTTTTTTCTAGAACTCTTTTCAGGACTGCACAATATTTTTTTCAGGAGAAATTTCTTGACAAGCCTACTTGGGATAAAGGCTGGGCTCCCAAGGGCCTGCATGTGGGCTGAACTGTTCAGAGAGGCAAGGAAAAGAGTCTACCTATAAAATGGGAGAGGGAGGATGGAGCATGAGACAGCAAGGGAGAGAGGGGGAGGGTGGAATGAAGTGGTGCTGGAAGAAGACTGCGCACTCCACAAGGTGACCCCTTCTGTAGAACCTTGAAAATCTGTAGTAAAGGCTCCAAAATATGGCAAAATGTCAGATGAGGGGATGTTTTTTGTAGGAGCTGGTAAAGTAGCTGAGTCACAGCGCAGGGGAGGACAGGAAGGCCATGGGAGCCCAGGAGGGGCTTGGTAGAGAAAATCATGAGGAAGTACATTGCAGATTCTCCAGAAATCATGGGAAGAGCTCCAGACTTTTAAAAAAAGGTTGTATCATTGGTGTTTACACAGGTTTAATCCGACATCTGAGGGGCCACGGTCACCAAGCTAATGTTGGGACAACATCCCTCTGGATGATGAAACTATAGCTTTGGTCAATGGTGGGGCTGACTTTGAACCCACATATGTCTGATTCCAACACTATGCTACACTCTTGCCTGAGCTGAGCTTTTGCCAAGAAGATGTGCAGCATTGGGAGGTTAAAGAAATGTTTTTGCTTGGTTTTAAAGATTTCTAAGAAGAATATATCAAGCAACAGTTGAAGGAGACACTGAACATGCGGTGGAAATAGTTGATGAAGACAAACCTAGTAAAGGATGCATGCTGCTGCAGACAACCCCAAGCTCAAGCTTTAAGCACTTCAAAGTCTATCAAAGGTTGATCCTCCTACCTAATGGTCTTGCCAGGCTTGAGAAAAGACCTTTATCCATACTCCATGGAAGGATGTGATGAAAGAATGATGGGGTAACTGAGGTTACCTTACCTGTGCCAGCACAGCCTTTGGGCAGCCACAGAAGTTTGTGTCTCTAAAAATAACTTATGTTTAGTTTACAAAGCACTCTAATACACATTCTTTCGCTTGATCCCTACAAAACCCTGAGAGGCGTATTGTCCTCGTTTTCCAGAGAGGCAGGTTGACTTGTTCAGGCTCAGATACCAATGAAGTGGCACAGTCAGAACTGGAACTCAGGCCCTCTGGCTCTATATCTAAAGCTTTGCCAGCTCTGCCTGGTTGTCTCTTCAATAACTGAAGAGAAGGAGTTAAATTGATGCTTCCCTACTGTAATCCTCCAGGGCTTTCTGAACTTGAAGGTCGCTGACAATCACCAGCAGGTGAATGCAGGATTTGTCTTGCAAATAGGTTGGGTGTATGAGTGTGTTTGTGTTGTTTGTTGTGTGTATGCGTTTGTGCATTTATCCCAAATACAAGAAAGGCAACTCTTGAAGTATAATTTTCCCTGCATTGTTTTCCTTTAATTTCTGAGGATTGCCATGGTAGACTTTACTCAACTAAAAATCTGCAATACAGAGAGAGTCTGCCTCCCTTCTCACCCACGTGTCAGAAGGAGGGTTAGAAGTTAATCCTCTTCTGTTTTCATGGTCTGAGAGGGCACACACACACCAATCGGTGTAGAGAACACACTAGTGTTGCCACCACGTTTCTAAGAAGCGAGCAAACACTGGGGATTACTTACAAGTTGCTGCAGCTAACAAAATGTGAATCTACTCAAGAAGCCATGTGCCTGTTATACAAAATCCTACAATCACAGAGCTCTATTTCTCTTCATCAGTGTCCAGCACGTGAAATAACCAAGTCCCAGCACAATGACCTCTTCATGCCTGAGGCAGTATCTCTGGGAATCTTCCACCCTTTCAAGGTTGATTGCAAAAATCTTTCCATGCCTTACAAGGTATTAAGGTTAACTTATTGGAGAGAACTGTGTGAATTAAAGGTTGTACATTTCACCCCAATTTAAGACTATTTCAACAGACTCCAATGTAATGGAAACACTTCAGAATGTAGCTTCACTGCCTGTGGGGAATACCTTGCTTTTGGTTATCTTGCTGATTGTTGTCTTCGGCATGTAGATTTACTGCTCAGAAAACTCTCAGGGGTCCCCACCCTCTAAAAAACGGTGAAGAACAAAGCTTCTCAGACTGGCTTTGCCTGGTCCTAACCCACCTTCCAGCTGCATCTCCCATGATGCCCAGACACTTAAACCCAACCACACCACTCATTGTTTCCTGACCTCATTTTCCACTTGCTCCCTGAGCTATCTGGGCTTGGTCCACTTAGAAAGGCCTCCCACCCACCTCTGGCTGTAAAATTCTACTTATTTTTCATGTCCTACCTCAAATGCTCCTCCACGAAACTAGTACAAATCCTTGTTATTCTTCTGTAGCACTTTACCATATTTTGCTTTATTTTATAGTGGCTTTCTGTTGTTGTTGTCCGTTTGTCTGTCCATTCATCCAACGAATACCAAATAAGCACTCATGACATCTTCATGGTGCTTTTGTTCTAGTTAGAGACAGACTGTATAAAAAGCTCTTAAGACAATGCGTGGTAAGACTATTGTAGAGGAAGTGTAGCCCACACAGGAGAAATCTAAACTAGTTTTGTGTATTGGCAGTGGGAGCTGGGTCCAGGAAGGCTTTCCTTTGCATGCATTTATTTTATCTTACACAAGATTGGATGCTCACTGAAGCCAGAGACTTTGCGGGATGGACGGCCAGTAATGTGTCTCATGGAGTTAATCATCGTGGCTCTCACTTCTGTGATGCTATCTCACCTGAACCCCTCTTACACTAAGACCATTGTTTCTGGGGCTCTTCTGGGGTTTTCTTACATGAAGAAGAGCTATTGAGGAGATTTTACAACTTAAAAGCTTTTCTCTCTCTATCACAGACGCTCTACCAGGCAGGGATTGTTCTAGATTGTTGGTGGACTTTATGTGGAAATATAGGATGGGTTTATTACAGTACGGGCTGAAAAGCTCCTGAGTTGAAGAATAGGCCTGTTTTTGAATGTGTGATCTACAGATAAATGAAGTCAATCCTTAAAATTCATAAAGTATCATGACTGCCTCAGGAACAGAGTGTTATGAATACACCTAAAGCCTTCAATCCTTTGTGGCCTTCAACAACCAAGAAAAATGCAGCCACATTTTTGGTCATTTGTTAGAAACTCAACCTGTTGAGAGGTTTTGCTGACTAACTCTACCCCTTAGACGCCTCTGGGTAAGGTCAGACCTATGGCTCCAAAGCACATTAGGAAAATGAGAGCCTTGAAAAAATCACCCCTAAAAATAAACTTGATAAAACTCTCATTTTAGACAGGAAGGTAAACTTTATCACAGACTATGCAGCAGGTTAATTTGTTAAGATATTAATTTATGTTTCTTCTTATTGTATTTTTTCCCTGTTATTATTCTAAGCAGGTACCTAGGCTGTCGCGTTCTCCTACCTCTGTAGCTCAAGATTACAGGAGGGAGGGCAGGGTCCCGTGAAGACAGCTCTCCCTTGAGGCACTGGGAATTGCTCTCTCCAAATCTCCCTTGTTTTAAGGGATTGGGCTTTGTCAGCCCAATGAGTGACGGAGAGGAAATGATCTTCCAAGCCTGGGACGGCGGGAGTGGGAGGTAGGTCCTAGTAAGGGAAATACCCCTATTCCCTAGCAGCTGCTTTGGAGGAGCATCACCTCGGAGAACTACCTGGTGTGGTACCCCTGCCACCCCGTGCTTAGGTATGGGGCTTTCCCACCTTCACAAGATCCTGTCGTTCAGGAAACAATGGAACCGCCCAACTTTCAGAGATAACATGGCTTGGGCTTGGACACTGAGCAGTGCAGGGAACCTCCCCTAACGTTCTAGATTGTGCAAGGCTTCTGGGGGCTGGAGCAGGGAGAGAGGAAGCCTCTGTGATGATGGAATTTGAGTTTCTCAGCCCCTGGTGATTGGAAGTTTGGAGTTAGACTGATTTGATTTAGAAAATAAGGTGATGTGATAAGCCAAGTGTGGTGAAGTTAAACCGTACCCAATACAATTGTGTACGTGAAAGCACAATATTAGCTTGGAATGAATGGTCATGTATAGGTCGGGGGAGTAGAGCTGTAAGAAATTGTCCCATTTCTCTTTTCATCTTTGCTTTACCTTTTGTAAAACCTCTATGCTGGATTATTTTCAACATGTACTACCTTCTTGGCCCAAAGGGCCCCAGTGGAGTCAAGCAATGTCCGTGAGGCCCACTGGGGCCATGAGCAGACCAAAGAAATGGACAGAAGGAAAAGGAGATGAGAAGAAATGGAAATAAAAAAGAAGAGAAAGTAGGGAGGAGAGAAAGTGACAGTTACCTAAAGCAACAGTAACCCTACGCACAGACAGAATAGATGCACTGGTGTGGCGTATGGTCTCAGGCCAGGCCAAAGGATGGCACTCATGCTGGTTTCTCCTTTTCCTATTTTCCCCATATCTCTTCTACTTGATTTCCTATAAGCCCTTGATCATCCAACACCCTTATCTGCCTCCAGGGAACAGAGACTTCATTCCTTAGTCCTGGCTTGCTTGGGAGGAGGCATTGGGAAAGAATTTGGGGCTCAACCTCCCACGGACCTGAGTTTCAAATCCAGCGCTGCCAACTTGTGCACCATGTCTCGGGCACTAGATCCTCAAGAGTCAAGAGCAGTGCCGTATGTGCAACAGGGGTCAGTAAAGTGTCCACCGACTAAAACTCTCAAATTACCTACTTTTTGTTATTTTACCTTCAGTCCTCTGGGCGGTGAAGACTTTTAGTCTTGAATAAACACTGGTGAAAATTGAGGGCTGGCTAGAAGAGAGGTCAGAGGGCACTGAAGAGAACCATGAGCTCACGTTCATGTCTGTAAGCAGCCCTGATCCTGGTTCTCTCTGTAGTCCACCAGTTCTCAGATTTTACCAGGCATCAGAATCACCTGGAGATCTTGTTAAAACACAGATCACGGGCCCCACCCCTAGAGTTTCTGATGAGGTGGTCTGGGGTGGGTGGCGCAGAAGGTCCTGGTGATGCTGATGGTGCTGGTCCAGGAAGGTACTTTGAGAACCACTGACCTGGTCCATCCTCACACTGAAGCCAAAGTGATTGGTTTAAAGCTCTGCTTTTATGATTTCACTTTTCTGCTTCAAATCCTTCAGTAGCTCTCTGTAAGATATATTCTGAGGTGTCAACTGTAAGAGTAAAATGATCAAGTTCTCTTTGTTTGGCAAAGAGGACGGAGGCCACTGCCTTCCCACCTTCTCCTCTTACAGTGCCTCCTTGACCTTAGTATAATAGGCCCATATTAGGCTGACCTTTCAATTTTACAATGTGAGGTTTCTAGTCTTCTGATCCATGGATCTGTAAATACCTCTAGAAGGAGCTCAGAGGTCTCCAGGTATACAAGAGACAATCACAAGATGGGTGCATTTATCTGTCAAGGAAATAAGAGAAGTTGTCCTTGTTCTGCTTTCCACTTTTCTGTATAAATCTGTGTGAAATTCTTTCCAGACTTGGGAGACACTTTCCTCCTTCCTGTACATGCATGGAACTCTGTGATGCTTACTCATTAATAAAATGTGTTCGTTCTCTTCTCTCTCCATATGTTGGCACAAAGGGGTTTTCTGTTGGCAGGATTGTTTGATTTCTTCAGTGCAACCCTAATCACTTGACTCTTCTCTGAGAACCACTCTGCCAGCCTAGGCTGATGCAATTAGATTCTCTGTCCCCTATATTTGGGATCAGGACAGAGAGAGATGGTCTACATAGAGAGAGAGGGAGACAGTGAGGAAGACATGCCGAGAGAAGCAGAGGCACCAATTCTTGAGACCTTTCCATCAGGGCTGCAGTCCAGGCGAGTTCCAGGTGCCTTCCCTGCCTTGGGTTCTGCAAGCTCCCTCATGGCCTCCCCAAATCCCCTTTTGTGCTTTAGCAAATTAGCTTTGGACTTCTGCTCATTGCAACCAAAATACCCTGCACCGAGACACTCCTCATTGCCCTCGTGATGAAGTCCAGATTCCTGGACCCGGTAACAGAGCTCTTCACAATCTGATGCCTGCTTACCCCCGACATTCACTTTCCACTCTGTATTTCAGTCATTGAACTACTTTTTAGCTTTTTCTACTCTTCAGGCCTCGGGCATGCTATCACACTCTTTTCTCCTAATCTTTACCTGGACAATCCCTATTTGGCCTTCAGATGTCAGTGAAGGTATGTCACTTCCTCCAGGGATTCCTGCCAGATACACAGCTTCTACTGCATACTCTCAGAGTACCTTTAGCTCCCGAATCCTAGCACTGACATCATAATTGCCTGGTGACTTGTCTTTCTTCCTCCCTAGATTTTGAGCTTTGAGTGCCAAGACTGAGTCTTAATCGCTGTCGTATCTGGGTGTCTAACACAGTACTTGGTGCTTGGCTAGTACCCAATAAATACTCATCAAATGAATGAATGATGTGCCTCCCTTGCCATCAGTCACCTACCCCAGTGGCAGATTGACAACGTTGAACAGAAAAAGTGAAAATGGCTTTGGCTCAAGCTGTAGACTATAATTTGGAAATACTCCTGAGGTAAAGAATCAGATATGGCCGTGCTTGGGGAATATCCCATTACATTCATTGTATCTTTTTCCCCCTTATTTAATGATTGTGCCAGAGTTTCTAATTAGAGAAAAGTCCTCATGCACTTATTGATTCAAATGTGCTGCTTCTCTAGGGAGATTTTGAGAATAAGGTTAGAATTTAGCAGATCAGAAATTCAATCCATCTGAGATCTCTCAAAGAGGTTTGCCCTTGGGTCATTTAGCACAGACTTTCATAGTCACTGAAAACTGTTGTCATGGTAATCACGGAACCTTTCATGATTTTTGTGTATGAGTTAATGAAGACACAGGAAACAGCCCACAGGAATTCGTACTTGGGTGTGTATTTGTCTCCATATTAACCCAATCATTGTTTTGAACACACATCTGCCCCTGGGCTGGCTCTCCGGGCTCTTGGTCCTGACAGGAATAAGTAAACAACTGATGCCTTTTTAGTATTTCAGCCTAGGAGGCTGTGGATGGCTGCCCTTTTGGTCTCATTTCAACAGGAAATCCCACATGGAAGATTTAAAGAAGCAGAAGAAACAAAGAATGGTGTGTGAAGCAAATCTCTTTCTTTTATTTCAAACGATTAATATTGCTGATTTCAAGGCACCTAAAGTTAATGCTTATAGAGAAGTTTCAGTTGTGGAGAACACAGAACATTGACTGTGTCTAAAGCCTGCCTTTTATGGTCCTTTATAAATATGCCTTAGCTCAAGCCTCCATCAAGTCTGCAAATTTAGATGTAGATCTCTGAATGTGCTCGCAAAATCTGAGTGTGAGATTTTCCATCTATGTCCTGTTCTGCTAGTTATTTCCCTCCCCATTCTCCCTTCTTTCCTAGTAATAGAACCGCTTACTTTTAGCTAGGCATGTGGATGCTTGAAATCAAGATATTTCCCAGTCTCCCTTAATGCTGGCCAACAGTATTTAAGTTGAAGTACTATATTTGATTTTCTGGACTTATCTTTAAGGGGAGCATATATATGCCCCTCTTCATCCTTTCCTACTGACTGGAATGTGGACATGATGGATGGAGCTGGGACAGCCATTTTGGACAATGAGTTGGAACCATGTTGAGAAAAGCAGAATGACAAAACAGGAGGAGTCTGGGTCCCTGAAGATCATGAAGCTTCTATAAAAGCCCAGACTGACTATGTTTATAGGAAGAAGAAAAAAACTTCAGTCTTATTTATACAACTGTTATTTTGGATTTTCTGTCATCTAATCTTAACTGATATACCATCCAAAAATGAGATTTATTTTTCCTCTTTCCATTGATCTGGTGTGAAACCTCATGGGCTTTTCTGTGAGATTTGCCCTCTGACCCCAGTGCTCACTGGAAAGTGGGCAAGTTTGCTAGATATTTGCACTAGCCGGACTGAATTTCCCGGCATGGAGAATTGAGACAGCATTTCAATGGCAGGAAAATCTCTGCTCCAGCTTAGCCATAGAGACATCGTGTCAACTGGTCTTTGTACGTGCATCTTGAATTTTTCTACTGTAGTGGAACTACTTATCTTTCACCCTAAAATCAGGATTCCTATCTCAAATGCTTTTTGGAATGAGGTAGGTGATAAATAAGAATCATTGCTAATTAGTCTGAGTGCCAAGTAATTGAGATAAGACCCAAAAAACAAAAACAAGAAAGTTACCCAAATTATCTACATGTGTAGCAGTCTTTCCGACTAGAGACACAAGTCTTATATCAGTGAGGAATTGTAATTTTACTTACTGAACTTAGGCCTTTTAACCTTCTTTGTCGTTTCTTTATTTGAATGTATTCCAGTCACCAGCAAAACTACATGAAGAAAATACAAAAAAAAATAGTCAATATTATTTCACCTAAACACTGTCTCTCTTTGAACCCTTATATTTACCTCAATCACACTTTAAAGGATTCTCGTTGGTGAAACTAATTTTCCCTGAAATTAAGGTTGGGGAAATAAGATGTATAGTTTGTGTCCTTTTCTTGGCTTCTGCGGAAAGTGCCTTTCAAAAATACCTCTTGGGTACCTGTGCTTTGTTTCACCATCTTTAAATTTCACCACACCAACCCTACCATCTCCATTTTCCAAAGGAGGGAATGTGGGCCTGGAGAAGTCCACTGATTTGCTTGCTCCCAGGAACAAATGATAAGGGTAGGATGAGCACCCAACCCCTTCTTGTGTTCTTTCCTCTGTTCCACACTGTTTCCAAATGGCCAGAGAACTGCGTGCACGTGTGTGTGCGTGTGTGTGAGACAGAGGGAGGGCTGAATGGAGCGGATATGTAAAAAGCCTCAGAAGAGGGCTGTCTGGGAAAGGAAGACAAGGAGAAAGGGGACTGCAGAGAAGAGAGAGACTTGTCACAAGATGTGTGGTGTGACCTGAGTGTCCCCTGGTGTCCACTTCAGCAGCGCCAGGTCTGTGCCCCACAAAGACCAACTGCAGGTCGTCGAGTTCCTCAGAAACAGGAGCAGAACCTCAAATAGCATCCGGATCCCACTCTCCTTCAGTGAGTATAGCAATAAGAGAAGAAGGGGGACTCTTCATCCTTTATCATTTAAAGTCACATTACCGGTTTGAGCCGTGTGTTTTTAAAAAATAACGCTGACCGATTTTTTTCTTATTACCAAAATAATACATTTTCCTTGTAGAAAAATGTGAAAAACACAAAAAACAGCACAGAAAAGATGGATGAACACAAAAATATAATATTTCAGTCTTTTTCTATGTGTATATACGTATTCATATGGGTACTTTTAATCAAACATTTGACCATGCTCATACTGTTTACAATGTTTTATAACTTATTTCTACTCAAGGATATACACAAACATTTTTTCTTGTCATTAAGTATTCCTCTCACAATAACTCAACTGCCTACAAAGTATTGCTGTGTATGGATATGCCATAATTTAGCCAATTCCCAATTTCATATAAAAAGCTTCATCTTTGCACCTACCCATTACTTTCTTAAAACAAATTTCCAAATAGGAAAATAGGGTCTCTTGTCTGAGAGGTATGCCCATTAAAAATTTTGATATATGCTGTGAAAATTTCTCATAGCAATTTTTTTTTATTAGCAATGTCTGAAAATGCTCACTTCTCTGTTCCTCTAGCAATTCTACCTGTAGGCGGAAGAGCGATGGTTTTCCTTTCAAAGGGCTGGTCCATTCTCTCTTCTTCTTCCTTCATCCCTCTCCAGGCCTCCTTCCCCCTCACCCACCCAAAGATGGTACTGCTTTACTTTACCTGTATTTTAACTACTTTTTTGAGAAACCCACTTTCTGGATGGGGTTGGGATTTGGAGGTGAACTTGAGGCAACAGAGTAATCAAAATAGGCATTTTACTTCCTAGTTTATGCATTTGTTTTTTGCTTTTTTTTAACAGAACAAGGATGCTCAATTTAGGCATAAATGTTCTTAGGAATTCTCAAATTGGCAACTACCTTTGAAGGAAAAAGTGGCGACGTCACCAAGTGTCTGTTAAGAAAACTTTTCATTTATCTTTTGATTATCTAGCTATGTGTGCCAGCGATGCAGCTGGCAAATCGTCCCCAGTTTTGACCACTAGCGTTAGTTGAGGCCTGGACAGTTGACATACCATGTCCCGCAAGAACAGAAACGTGAAAGAGAACTGAGTGAGAACCAAAAGTCGGGCCAAGTAGCATGAAGGCAGACATTTTTAGGTGTTATTTACTTCTGGGGTTTGGGTGGGTGTGAGCGTCCTGGAGGTCTAATTTTTATAGTAGTCTCTGTGTCATTTGATTCTGCAAAGACCACATCTTCATTTTATACAAAAATAAATAACTAGAATCCTAGAATATGTTTTAAAACAAGTACTAAATAAATATCTAGAAAAAATATGCAAATTAAGTTGAGTTAGTGAAACAGCAATAAATTTGGGTATCAATTCTTGTAGAACCCCAAATGCTGTCCTTCTGGGCCTGTGTGCCTGTGGCAAGTGGTTTATAAGTCTCAGTATCATTAGAACTATAAATATTTCAGTAGGACCACCCCATCACCACATTTGCTCGCCCAAGACACTTCAGGCTGAAAACATGCATAGCTGGACTCAGTTTTACGGTAGTAGTTAATAAAGTCATTATTTTCAATGGCGCACAGAAGCCCTCCCCTCAGCTTAGATGCTTATTAATTAAAGTTCCCCAGAAACCACTCCTTGAGGGAGGGCTGGTCAATTAGGCTTGGAAATGTGCTTGTGCCCTGGAGCAAGTCTTCATTCCTCATCAGCAAGACCTCTCTTCCTACTTTGGAAACGGTGAATTGCCGTTAACTGGGTGAGAGAAAAATCAGTCTTGTGTTCCTTTTCTTAGGAAGCTGGGCAGAGCACCAAGCTGGCTGGCTGATGCTCACTTCAAAGTATAAAGAAGAACACAGGTCTGCAAGCCAGTCCCTTCTGCGGAAGTAGTTAGTTATCTGGCTACCGACACCATTAAGTGTCTAGAAGGCTTGTAGTAGAAATTAAGTCTAGAATCCTAAATTCTGAGGCAGCCATGATTTACCAACTCTGCAGTAATGCTTCTCAATTTTTAAACATTCAATGTTTTAGTTTTGAATAACACGAATAGTTCTCATCTTTCGAGATCAGTGCTTAAAATTTCAAAACAAATTATATATTGTAATTACTTTTTCAAATAAAAGATTTCCCCCTATTTCTCTCTTCATTAGTGTGGTGATCAGTACAGCTAAGATAGCTGAAGTGTAATTGTTTTAAAATTCAATTTAAATAAATTATCATCCAGATAATTTATAGATAGAGAAAATACAAATAAAGTAGCTTGAAACAATGTAAATCTCATTGAGGATAAAGAATGCAAGCTAAAGCAAAACGATGGGATATTTTCCCATATCATGTCAGTAAATATTGAACACAAGGTTATCCTTAATCCTGGCCTGGATTTGGGATCAGGGCATTCCAGGACACTGTTGGGAAGGTCCAAGCAGGTGGAGTCATTCTGGAAAGCCATTTGGCTTTATCCTGGAAAATGCACCCCTAGGAATATATCCCAAGTTATGACCAGAGATATAGACAAAGATTTATATAAATAGCGTTCATTACAACAGCATTTCTAATGACAATCTGGAAATAATGAAGTGTTGGAAATGTCCCAACAATAGGAGAATCCTAAACATTTATTACAAATGACGTGTAGAAGAATATTAAGTAACCCGGGCAGTGCTCGGCTCTAACCTTAAGAATCATTCTGACAACATTTGAATATCTGCAGAGAGAAATAACTGGAACAAACATACCAAAATGTTAATAATGGTGGAATTATAATTCCTATCCTATATTTTCTGTATTTTCTCACTTTGTAGTATATTCCTTATATATACTGCATATTTTACATAGAATATGTTTCTTTTCTAATTAGAAAAAGACAACATAGTTGTTTTTTAATTTGGTCATGTTGAAATCATATAGACTTTTAATAATGAAAAGTGCTTTCTAAAATCGTTGGCTTGTGTTCCATTGTGCTTGTGTTCCAGTTTTCCTCTCAGTGATGAATTATAATCAAATCCATCTACTTTCAAGAAGACATGAAGTGCCAGAACATCTAATTGAAGATCCAATCAGTAAGCACTTACTGAATGCTTCCTATGTGCCCAGAACTTTTATAGAAGTGACTCATTCTAGCCCACAAACTTCTTGTTAGATCCTTTCACAGCCCCTCAAGATACTACCGCAGGCCACGTTGTCAAGGACTCTCTCCTTGACCAAACTTTAGTCAGGCTCCTCTAAGCCCTCTTCACAACTAGGCTTTGACCTTGGGTGTCAGGGTCCGTTCTTGGTGGGCCTGCATCGCCCAGCTTTAGCAAGAATAATGTTTAGAGGGAATCCTCCATCCTTGGTATCTGCTCACCATGGTCTGCCTTTAGCAAGGATCCTGTCAGTTCGATTTAGCAAGAACCCCCCTACCCTTGGTGTCTCCTCTTAGTAATTTCCATCCTCTGACCCCTGCAGCCTGCTCCTTGGATAGAAATCTCCGCTCTCCCTGTTGTATTCAGAATTGAGCCCAGTTCTGTATGGAGGTCTCCTTTCTCCTATTGTAGTAGTTCCTGATTAAAATCTGTTTTTAAAGCTTTAAATACTGTCCACCTTGGTTCTCTTTAACATGTCTACAATGCCTTCCTGAAAGATGACTTATAAACAGATCATCTTAAAGCCGTTCAGATTTCCCACGTGCTTTAATTTGGGATTATGCACTCAATGAAACCTTTAGCATCAAGAAAATCAGAGCTTCATAGCAAAGACAGGACAACTTATTTTCTACAATCACATAAATCATAAAATTAGGCTTCAAATTATAGAATATTAAAGTTGAGAGGAACTTTGGAGGGCATACATTTATTTTATGGAAAAGAAACCAAGGTCAAGGTTAACACCTTGGCTAAAACTGTGGTCCTTTGGGGGCTGAAGTTGGGCCCAGACTGCAAGTCTGCTGGGTGCTGCCTTAGCTTCTTTATGCCACTTGCTCCCCGTAAGTGCAGTTGGGGGGGTCCACTGACAATGGGCAGCAAAAAAGTCTGCCATAGCAAGCATTTAAACATGTCTAAAACACACATGCTGGCTCTGATAGACGTTAATCAAACACTTAATTGACGTTAATCTAGAGGGCTTTTGGGGGGGTCATTGGATGGCTATGTATGATATTGTGATTTATAATAAATATGTATTTTGGTCTTTTGGCTACAGTTCCTGGCTCACAGCTACCAAAATCTTTGGAATTTCCTGAGCTATAAGACCAATGGGAGCATCTTTTGTTATACTATCTGGTTTCTAGTCCTCAGTTCCTGAAATCACTAAAGAGCCATAAAGGTGAAATGGGTGTCTCGTTATTCATAACAAGCTCCTCTAAGTCACAACTGAGTTTATGTTAATGAGGTGACTTTTGGGAACCCTCTAAAAATGAGGCAGCTGGTTGCCAGGGGAACAAACCACAAACAGAGTTTTGGAACTTTCAGTCCCACCCCCTGATTTCCCGGGATAGGAGAGGGGCTGGAGGTTGAATCAATCACCAAAAGCCAATGATTTAATCAATCATGCCTATGTGATAGAGCCTGCGTAAAAACCCAGAAGGATGGGGTCCAGAGAGTTTCCATGTTGGTGTACCACCATGCTGGTCCCCAAACTCCACAGGGACAGAAGCTCCTTTGTTTGGGACCTCACCCTATGTATCTGTTCATCTGGATGTTGACTCATATCCTTTAATATTCTTCATAATATTCTGGTAATCTAGTGAGTAAACTGGCTTCCTCAGTTCTTTCTGTAAGCCACTGTAGCAAATTAATCAAACCCAAAGAGGGGATCGTGGGGACCTCTGATTTACAGCCAGTAGGTCAGAAGCACAGGTGACAATCTGAATTTTCGGTCGGCATCTGAACTAGGGGAGGGCAGTCTTGTGGGACTGAGCCCTTAACCTGTGGAACCTGAGGCTATGTCCAGGTAGATAGTGTCAGAATTGAGCTGAATTGTGGGACATCCAGCTTGTGTCGGGGAATAGCTTGGGGTGGAAAAAACCCTACATGTCAGAAGTGGGTGCAGAATTGGACTCTGATACTTTAAAAATCCAGCATCTCTAAGGAGAATAACTTACTTGGCAATATTTCTTGAGCACCTATGAGATGTGCTGAGCACTCGAAATGCAACGATGGACAAGACATGGCTCCTGCCCTCATGAGTTTACAGTTTTGGGGGAGCCAGACTAATGATGAGGTGAATGCCGTGCAGCTATGATAAGAATCAATACAGGATGTAAGGAAACACATAGGAAGATGGCCTGATAAACGGGGGGCGGGGGGAAGCTTGCTGAGGACCAATAGGGTTTGTGGGAGTGTGGGAGTGAGGAAGAACATTCCAGGAAAGGGAACAGCATGGTGGAAGGCCTGGAGGTGAGAAGTGACTCCATCCTCAGGAGAATGAGATCCCAGGTCCCTGGAAGCCAAGGTGGGCGCTAGGGTAGAGAGGAGAGCAGCAGAGGACAGCAAGAGCTGCATCAGGAAGGCCTCGCCAGCAAGGATGGCTCTTTAAGAGACGTGGGCTCTGCCATGAGGACTAGGGGAAAACACCTAGGAATTTAAACGAAGACACTATTGATCAGATGTGGGCTTTGGGGAGATTAATCAGGGTACGGTGGAGATGAGTTGGAGGGGTAAGGATTTGGGGCAGAGAGGCTGTCGCAGTACCGAAGACGGTGACAGGGACTTACAGGAACGGCCCCAGGATAGAGACAAGTGGACGAATGAGGTGCTGCGGGTGGACCTGTGAGGACTGGAGAGGGGAATTTGTGATAGGAGTCTCCCTTTTCTACTTTGATTTCTTGCTTTCTCAATGAGTTGCAGAAAGCCAGGCTCAGAGGATAGGTAAGTCTCCCTTCTTTGTTCTCTGATGCTGGCGACATGGCAGAGTGGGAAATGGCCTCTGGGTTTGTTGGTTTGGTTGTTTGTTTTACAGTAGCTAAATTCTTCCTATTCCTAACCCCCTGCCCCACCCTCACCCCTCCCTGTGTAAGAAACCTACTAACCTGTAGGTTAATATGGGCAGGAGAGAGCCTCTCAAAAGGGCAAGGGTGGTGCCTTCCGCCATGCCGAGAGCCCCCTCACCTTCCCAGCTGCGTCACTTCTTTCTCTTCTAGTCCCCAGTTTTGCTGTGTAGACTCCCTCTGCATAGATCTTGAACATTCTGACCATATTATGGGTTGATTTGTGTACCCCCAATTTGATATGTTGATGTCGTAGGCCCCAATACCTCAGAATGTGACCTTATTTGGAAATAGGGTGGTTGCAGATGTAATTAGTTAAGATGAGGTCATACTGGAGTAGCTCGGGCCCCTATCCAATATGGCTGGTGTTATCCAAAGGGGAAATTTGGACACAGACACAGACGTACAGGAAGAACACCATGTGCAGACGGAGACAGAGATTGAGGTGATGCCAAAGATTGCCAGCAAACCACCAGAGGCTGGGAGAAAGCCAAGGAACGGACTTTACCCTCACAGCCCTCTGAAGGAACCAACCCTGCTGACACCTTGATTTTAGACTTCTCACCTCCAGAACTGCGAAAGAATAAAATTCTGTTGTTCCAAGCTGCTCAGTTTGTGGTACAGTCATGCGTCACCTAATGATAGGGATACATTCTGAGAAATGTGTTGTTTGGTGATTTTATCACTGTTCGAATATCATTATGTACTTACACAAACCTAGAGATGTGTGCCTACTACACTATATGGTACTAATCTTACGGGACCAGCATCGTATGTGCAGCCTGTTGTCCAAAACGTCGTTATGCGGCATGTGACCATATTCTGTTAGGGCAGCCCTAGAAACGAATGCAGGCTGCCTGAAAGGCCTTTGCACCCTTCCCTGGCAACAGTTTCACAGTGACCCATGGGGTCACTTTACCTGACAAGGCCACTGTTCAACGTGGTTAAGATGAATAGAAGATTACCCTCAGGCTTAGTGCTAAACCCATCAACACTTTTCTCTGGGTCTGTCCAAAACTGCGTTCTCTGGTGATAATGGATAAATTTAAAGCGTTTCATCTCTGAAAAGTATGAGTTGCCAATGGTACAAGTAAGGCTATGTCACTGATAAGAATTGTTTTTGAGAAGTTAAGAAACAAGGAGATCCCTAAATTCAGAATTTGAAATATGCTCGATATGCAATATTTGCTGGTTGTTGAAGACTACACACACTATGTGTGTATTATGTGTGTATAATGTCATATGTAGAGACACACATATGTAATATATATATTTGCCTTATATAAAAATATATATGCACATACATCCTGAATTTGATCTACACTTAACATTCTCACTTAAATTTCTCTCCAAAGTGTTTATCATAAAAAGATACACTGAACTGTTTGTTTGCTCTGTCTTGGTTTAAACCTTTTCTTGGCAAGATTCTTTGGACCTTGGGAGAATGTTAAAAGCGTATCCAGATACACATATAAAAGTACTTACCAAGGAACATTTCAATAACAGATGCCTTCATAGTGAGGACAACAATCTCCATAAATATCGAAATGGCACCCTGGAGAGGAAGAAACAATAACATCATCATCCCTCAGCCAAGAGTTCTGAATTGGACGGAAGGAGTGTGGGGAGGGGCTGCTTCATTTTGCACTGCCCTCTGGAATCTTAGGATTCCAAGCTGTGGCTTTCCGTCAACCGCTCACAGAGATAGCAGCGGCCAGCGGCGATGGTACCCAGAGATCTATTCTCAGTCAGAAAACACATTCTAGCCACCAGCCTCCTACTCTTCAGACACTTGGTCTTTACTTAGAACGGAAGAGGAGATAACTCCACAATTTCAAGAATATGCTCTACCGGTCTTCAGAATAGGACAAAAGCCACACTTCTGGTATTTAGAGAACATTTTTGGATTGCAAATAAACGATTCATTCATCGTTCATCCAATAAATGTATATTAAACTCCCATTATATGAGCACAGATTGTTAGGTAGGAGGTGATAAAAATTGAAGTAAAAAACAGTTCTTGCTCTTAAAAGACATAGTTTAATAGAAGTGGGAAAACATACACGGACACAAATAACCATAACATTGGAGAGTGCTCAGGCCCTATAGAGAGTATAAGGGGGCGTTTATAGGGCACTGGTTCTCAAACTTTGTTGCAAACTAGTATCATCTGGGATTTTTTTTTTAATTTTTAAAATATTTTACTTTAAAACATTTGATTTATTTTTATTGAGTTCATAATAGTTTATATCATTGTGAAATTTCAGTTGTGCATGATTTCTTGTCTGTCACCACATAAGTGCTCCCCTTCACCCCCTGCGCCCACCCCCAGCCCCCTTCCCCGGGGAACCACTGAGCTGTTCTCTTTGTCCATGTGTTAGTTTATCTTCCACGTGGGAGGGAAATCATACGGTGTTTGTCTTTCTCAGTCTGGCTTACTTCGCTTAGCATAATACCCTCCAGGTCCATCCATGTTGTTGCAAATTCATGTGGGAGTTTTAAAAGACCTTGATGCCCAGGCTGCACTCAGACCTGTTGAATCAGAATCTCTTGGGATGGGGTCTAGGCATTAAGCTTTTTCAAATCTCCCCAGGCAATTCCAATGTGGAGCCAAGTTTGAGAACCAGCAATTTAGAGCAGCCTTCCTAAATTTTAATGTGCATACAAATCACTTGGGGATCATGTTAAACTGCAGATTCTAATCCAGTAGGTCTGGGGTAGCGCCAGAGATTCCCCAAAAAGCCAGGGAATTTTAGAGGAAGGAGAGATTATGTCAGCTGTGGGAAAGCCTTATAGAGGTGGCGGCAATTGGGTCACCTTTGGAAGATGAACATTGTTTGAACACGTGCAAGTAGGATTACAAGTGGGGGGAACAGCATCAACAGAGGCTTGGAGGTTGGAAAGCACAATGGATAGGAAGATGCTCTTGGTCTATAAGGGGTTTCCCCCCTTCTCTTAAGGCTATGAGGAAACTCTCAAAGATATTGCTCCTGCTACCATTAATTGAGCATAGATTGCCTTGAATCCCCACAATAAGCCAGTGTGCTGGGAATTATGATCCCTGTTGAACAGACGAGGAAACTAAGGCTTAAATAGGTTAAATGTCATAGCCATGGCGACCAGGCAGTGGTTAGGATTAGAGTAGAGGTGGGAGTAGATGGGGAGGATCTGCCCTGAGCACAGGCGATAAGGAGGAACACTGTCCTAGAGGATTTCAAGACTGAAAGTAGGTCTGCTTTTCATTATCCTTTTAAGCTGGAAATTCTAAGCAATGTCAATGATAAAGCACACCTCCCCTCTGGGCAGATGGCTCCCACCACATCCCTTCCCCTCAGTGCCACTGCCGTGTGGCCTAAAGCTAACATTCCCAAACCCACACTCTGCTATGCCCAGTGGTGTGCTGATAAGCCTGCTCTGAAAAAAAAAAAAGCCATGATTTGTAGCATTTATCAATTTCTGTGATATAAATCCTCCTATCATGGCTGATTTTGAAGCCACCAGAGTGACGTCACTGAATGGAGATTTGGAAAGAGATCAACACAATCTGGTACTAGTTAGGTCCAGTGCAAGCGTATATCCAATATTTACATGCAGTGCTATGCAGACTTTATTAACAAAAAGGGATTGTTAGGTCATGGTTGAGGGGTAATAAAAGTACCTGATACAGTTAAATAAAACTAGTATATGAAAGATTTTACTACAAACAATGAAATTAGGCAGCAAGAGTAATCCCAGACAGAACTGATCACTTTTCTAATTTCCAGAAACAACTGCAACGTGTTAAATTTTCCAATTAAGGAAGTGGACCACTGGTTAAGTAATAGGCAAATAATTGTTTTTAGCCTCAAAATAGAAATAAAATCATGCGTACAATCTGTTTGGCAATTTGATGCTTAAATAGTTGGGTCATATTTTGTAAATAGTATGATAATAAGTAAATTTTATTGTCTTTTACTAATTTGGAAAGCTCCAGAACAACCTACATGTTTCAGGCCTAAAAATTTAACTTTCCTATGAGATAAATACAGTATGTCAAGCTGCCCTGCTGGACCTGCCCAACCAGCTCTACCATTGGCTGTTACCATTGGTACTGCAGATTTCGTTTCTGAGTTGTCTTGACTTCTCTTTCTCTCACACCACACACCTTTTCCATCAGCCATGCCTGTGGGTTCTACATTCATAATATATCCAGAATCTGGTCATTTCTCATCATCTTTACCATTACCACCTGGTCCAGGCCATGCCTACTGTCACCTGGGTTATTGCAATTGGCCTCCTAACTAGGCTGTTTCCCTCTTCACCTGCACGCTCCAGTCCACACAGCAACCAGCATGATCCAGTTCAAAGTAAGTCAATTCAAGGCATTCCTCAAATCAAAACTCTACCGTGGCTCCCTGCTTTACTCAGAATAAAAGCCAAAAGTCTTGACAAGCAGCTCAGGACCCTACGTGCTTTGGCCACCATTGGCCCCTCTGACCTTGTTTCCCACTATTTTCTCCCTCATTTGTTAAGCTCCAGGCACACCAGCCTCCCGGCTGTTTCTAGAACACACCTCTCGCCTGCAAGGTCTCTGCACCTGCTGTTTCCTCTACCTGGATGCCCTTCTCCTGGATAAGCACATGATTTGCTTACTCATTTCTTTCAAGTATTTGCTTAAACGTTACCTTTAAGCAAATGTTACCTTTGCTTAAACTGTTATCACCCAATTTAAAATTGTAATCCCTCTCCCACCCACGACCGCCTGGTACACCCTATCCTTTGCCTACTGTCTTCTTTTCCATGCCACTTATCACCTCTGACATACGCTATAGGTTGCTTATTTTGCTTGTTTATTGTTTGTGTTCTCCACTAGAATGCAAGCTCCATGAGGGTAGGGATTTTCATCTGATTTTTTAATGTGCTCCATAAATATACTTTGAATCAATGAGTGAGTAATTAGGGCTCTCTCCTTTCTCTAAGAAATAAAAAAAGGAAACAAAACAAAGGGAAGACAGTCCTGTGAATACACTAAAAACTACTGAATGGTACACTTTCAAAGGTGTATTTTATGTTATGTGAATTATATCTTAATAAGTATTTTTGATACTCAACAAACAAATCAAAAAGGAAGATGGAGAGCCGAGAGAAGCACTCTCAGATCAGTCCCACAACTTTAGAAGACACAAGGGACCTGACCTTTACAAGTTGGGATGGATGGGTAAAAAACAACAGGATTCCAGGAAGCACGCTAACTCCCCAGGAGCTATCACCCAAGGGCTGACTCATCAGTGATGGAATCCGACCAGAATCTCTCCCGTCTCTTGGACTCAGAATGTTTCGAGGCTTCTTTCTTACCACTTCAATTTCTTTCGTTGCTTGGTCCATTTATTCATACACTTAAAATGTAAATGCGCCTTTTGAAATGTAGGGAAAAAAATTCAAACCCTAACTCCACCATTCCAGAGGCTGGGGATCGGGATGGCCAGCAGCACCTTTAAGCAGTTTCTGCAGGCAGTCCGATGTCATGGAGCTGTGGGACGCACAGCAATGTCGGAGCCTAATTCCTCATGTGCTCACCAGGGTTCTAACAAAAATGGAACAACAAGGGTTTCCAAACGAATGTGTTACTAATTCATAAATTTATGGATTGTGCTGTGAAATGTAATATAAAGAATCCTGAATATGAAGTCCTGGTGAGGCAAATGAAGCCTGATTTTGAAATAAAAATACACATTAATGTGAGTCGAGTAGCTAGCCAATGTAGTTAAATCTCTTGTTGCTGTGACTTAGAAAAGAGCAGGTTGATAGTAAATAACAATATCCCCTTATATTTATACAGTTCTTCACTTTTTTCCTCTAATTTTTTTTACTGTGGTAAAATACACAAACATAAAATTTACTGTCTTAACCACTTTTAAGTGTACAGTTTAACGGTATTAAATACATTCCTAATGTGCTTTCATCACCACCATCCGCCTCCAGAACTCTTTCAGTCTTGTAAAACTGAAACTCTAAGCTCATTAAACTATAACTCCCCATTTTCCCCTCCCCCAGCCCCTGGCAATCACCATTCTGCTTTCTGTCTGCTTTGACTATTCTAAGCACCTCATATAAGTAGAACCATACGGTATTTGCCTTTTTGTGACTGGCTTATTTCAAATAGCATAATGTTCTCAAGGTTCATCCATGTTGTAGCATGTTTCAGACTTTCTTTCCTTTTTAAGGCTGAATAATATTCCATTGTGTATCTACACCACATTTTGCTTATCCATTCTTCTGTTGATGGACACTGGGTTGCTTCCATGTTTTAGTTATTGTGAATAGAGCTGCTATGACATAGGTGTATATTTATACTCTTTGAGACACTGCTTTCAATTCTTTTGTGTATATACCCAGAAGTGGAATTGCTGCATCATATGGTAGTTCTATTTTTAATTTTTTGAGGAAGCTCCATAACGTTTTCCAGAACAGCTGTACCATTTTACATTTCCGTCAACAGTGAACAAGGGTTCCAATGTCTCCACAACCACGCCATCACTTGTATTTTCTGTTTCCTTTGAAAGTAGTCATCCTAAC